TTGTTACAAAGTGGTGGATTTTAACTGGTTTTTTTGGCTCCCCACAATTTCTACACTGTGGTTGTTTTAACACCTTTATGTTTAACATAAATTTCCCTGTTTTATGAGTATGTGCCTATCTTTGTGATGTCCTGGTAGTAATGCTGCTACTGATGTATATTGATTTATGTTATCATTGCAACAGCCTTTAGTGCCAGTAACAGATGCTTCTTGAGTAAGAGCGCTGCTGCACTTTGTCTTTGAAAAATTGATTGTGAGAACCCATCCAAAGTGTTTTGCAAATTGCAGTTTTGTACTTCTGCCTCAAGTGAGTAGTATCCCTACCTAGAAGTGATGCTATGTTTGTATCTTATATCTTATTAAAGCATTTCTGACCATCTTCAGATGGTTGTAGTTTCCTGAGACAGAGCTACAGTCATATTAAACCAGTGTATCTTACCAGGTTCTCACAGAGGAGAAATAGCCAGCTCAGGTTACAGTTTAAACCACAGGAGTTCACACAGGCTTCATCAGCTTCTTAGAGAGACTCCAATAAGAAAAAGATATAAATCACCTGCCCAGTGTTTAGCACTTTATAATTAAAGCATTAAGATTCAGCACTGAGCTCCCTGCCTTGCACTCACAGATTACACAGACTTCTGACCGTCATTCCCTATGGATTGTAGTTTGATGTGTGTTTATGAAGAAAAGAAATTGCCATACAATAACTGTGGTTTCCTGATAATGTGTTGCTTTGTGAGCTGGTCTTCTGGAGTATTAGAATGCTTCAGTCTTACACAAGTGTAGAACTAGGGTATTGTAGAGATTGCCTCAAACCTTGTATTTCTCAGCAGAAATGGAGGGATAACCCAGGCAATCCATAACAATGAGCAAAGGCTTTGAGTTCACAGAACATAAATGTTCCAACAGTGAATAGATAAAGTGTTTTTTTAAGATAATTAGATGTGGTATAAAATGAATGAAAATTTGGTAGCTTGCAAGAGTTTTGGCTATTATTTACAAGGCTGTAAAACAGTCTAGTTTATTCCTGCCAGGCAGGTTAGTTTGCTGTGGGAATGACTGAAATGGTGATGCCTGTGAGTAGTGTCCATCGTGGAGTCTGTTCTGGGAGGCAGGACAAGATTCTTGGACAGTGACTTAGCTTTTTTGCTTTCAGTGTCATCCACAGCACAGCCTTCTGAGTGAATAACATTGTGCTGCAGCAGCATTTCTCTTTTCCTTTCTGAATCCCAAAATGATGTAATTGTTCTTTTCATACTTAAGCTCCCTGTATCTCCCACGCTTCTCCTCCTCACCCATTTCTTTCATGCTACAGTGTGCTAAAACAACATTCTGTCCCATCTGCAAACACAAGCGCTCGCTCTGTCTCACTTTTACAGCTTCAGGGGATGGGAGGTGACTTTGTTGTTACACAGTGCTTCATCGGTCTGCTGGCAGCTGGAGGAGTCTGTCTGAAATTCGGCTTCATGCAGCAGAACCAAGGAGTTGGTCTTCCAATGTTCTGTTTAGCTGCCTGTAAGTACTGAGTGAAGCATTGAATGCTCAGTGTTCGTTGTGCTCCTTGCAGGTGTGACTGTGCGGATGCCTCAGACGACCTACGTGGTGAACAACGGGCTGGCTCTGGGCTCGGGCGCGCCTCAGCTCACGGTGCACCACCGACCGCCGCCACAAGCGCACACGGTGAGTGGGGCTCCCCGGTCACCTCCTCCAATGTACAGCCTTGTCTCTGCACTGCCACTCTCAGGCTGCTCTTAGTGTGAGCTGCAGAGCACTCAAATGCCTTGTTGACACTCCACAGCCAATTCTGGGCATGGCACCACCCAGTCACCTACAGCAGCACCTGCCCAGAATGGTAAAAGCTGTGCAATCTGTTAGCTCACCCTGGCCTTCTCCAAATTACCAGGAGAACATACTGAAAATTAGTGCATGAGTTGTCTGCAGGTGACTCATGGAGTCAAGCGTACAGAAAAACTGCCAGTAAAATGTTTTGTCATGGTTTGGCTATGAATTGGGTGGCCACTTTTTAGTACAGCTCTTTGCAAAACTGAGTTAGGAGAACAAGGTGCAGACCAAATCTCCAAGGTTGCCAACTCCTAAACTCCAGAGGTTTTTAGTCAGTGTTGAGGGTGATCACTTCTGCATCACCTAAAACCCCTTTTGGTTAGAATTGGAGAATTTTCTCTAACACATTTAATTTCATTTCAACTACATTACCTGTACACCCAATGTTGGGCGGTCACATTACTTACAGTGTCCTGAAATGGTAAATATATTGTCAGGAAGGTGGCTTACCATCCTTTCAGTCTAGACATAATCAACTCAGTGCACTTGTCCATGATAAATAATGAGAATAAAGGAAGCAGATATCACACAGAACACTTAAGATGCCAAAAACTACCCCAGGTTCCAACCTGAAAGATCTCAGGCTTGAAGCATGGTAACCACATTCCTAAATTCATCTTAACTAATACAAATTAGGGACCTAGGACTGTTTTTGCAGTATAAAAAAGAAGTATCACTGGAAAGACACATTTGTGCCCTCATTTCAAAATTTTCTGGAAAGTGAGGCTGAGCTTTTGTCATCAATTTAAAGTGATAGAATCTATATGGCATCATTACCCTGTCTTCCTTTTGTGACTGAGTACCTGTCTGTAGAAGAGAGGATGAGTTTTCAGCTTAATGCCCTGTCTGGGGTGTTGGGTAACGTGGGAACAGCAGCTCAAATGTAGATTGGTTCAAAGTCACTGTGAACCTGCTTGCCTAGTCCTGGTAAAGGGCACAGTGTTGAGTTCATCCCCCCTGGCTGGGAAGCAAAGAAGATACAGGGAAATTACTGTGGCAATGTCATTCGCACAACTAGGGATTTAAATATTAATAATGTAAAAATTTATGGCATCCTTGCTCGCACCCCTTCTCATAATTTGCAGCTGCTGCCTTGCCTGTGCACACAGGACTGAGAGTTCTGATGGCTGGGTGACTGCACGCTCATTTCCTTCCAGTTACCTGGGGAATGATGAATTAAAGGCTCCTTCCATTGCTGTAGATCCTGACCTTTCCCTTATTGCTCTTGTGCTGCTTAGGAGCCACCACGCCCCATACATCCCGCTCCACTTCCAGAGGCACCGCAGCCACCACGTCTGCCCCCCGAGGCCGCCAACACTTCTCCACCTCAAAAGCCACAGCTGAAGCTGGCCCGGGTACAGAGCCAGAATGGGATTGTGCTGTCGTGGAGCGTGATGGAGGTGGACCGGAGCTGTGCCACCGTGGACAGTTACCACCTGTATGCCTACCACGAGGACCCCAGCGCCACCATGGCCTCGCAGTGGAAGAAGATCGGGGAGGTGAAGGCGCTGCCGCTGCCCATGGCGTGCACCCTGACTCAGTTCGTGTCTGGCAGCAAATACTACTTTGCAGTCCGGGCTAAGGATGTCTATGGACGCTTTGGACCCTTCTGTGACCCCCAGTCCACAGATGTGATCTCTTCCCAGAGCAGTTAAACTAGAGATCTTTAGACCCTTGAAACCTGTCCTGCTATCAAGAATTACCCCAGTTCTGGGAGGAGTTGATCCCATGCATGCAATTCACCTTTAAATCCACTCTGCAGGATTATTTTAGTCAGTTGTGTGATACACTACATGCACTCAGAACCAACAGGAAAATAAAGTCTGACCTGCAGCAAGAGAGCCTGTTTTTTCTAAATAGTTAATGCCATTGGCCATTTGAAAATTTTGTTTTTCCTTCCATGACAGGTGTTCCACCTAGATACCTACTATCCTTTATTGAAGAGCATCCTGAATGCCTGGGGTTCTGCCTCAGAATGGAAACAAAATAGTAAATTGCAGTTTGTCTGAAGTAAAACATCTACATCTGTAATGTCTATTGACACAAGGGCAAAAACGATCTGCCTCTTGCCCCCCTCAGCATTCTGTGACATAACATGAAGGGTGATTCAAGGTCTCACTTTTTGTACTGGAGGCTTGAGTGGTCTGGTCTTACCTTACAAACTGTAATAAGCTCTCTGAGGGGAGGAAGGGAACTTGAGTCTGGCCAGGAACCCGTGTAAATTTGGAGGTGGTGGAGAAAAAAGAATAATTAACCCACAACCTCCTACCTCTTATAAGTAAGAATGCTCCTTTATTTTCACTATCCTCCCCTACTCACCCTGGGAGCATTCCCAGATCTGAAACTGGATTGTAAAGTCTCCATTCACACCTTGATAGTTCTGGCAATTTCTCTGTTCCTCCCCTCATACATCCAGCCCTATTTTTTAGATTTATTTTGTGCCTTAAAGAATAATTTCAGAAATAAAATGTAGCCAGATACCTTGTGGTGTTCTTTTATTTGCTTGGAGTTATTTTTCCTTTTACCCTTCTAGTCTTCTATCAGTGCTTCTCATTTTCCAGGCCTGCAGTGATTACTGTTTATGTAAAGAGTAATCTTTATCTGTAAAAAGAAAGTGTAACATCTGCTGATTGTGAATTTGTTCTTATCTGCGATATCACTCAACCCTTTCTTTACTGAGTAGTTGTTTTCGTCCTGTCAAGAATATTGAGTATACAGACATTATTTTCCACCAGAGCCTTTCCTGGTTCTTTTGGGAAAGCTGCAATTCAGCCAAAGAAGAAACCCCCGTGGTGCAGTGCCATGAAAGCTTCTGCCTTTGGATGCTCAGTGAGTACAAAAGGAGGAGCTGCTTCCCAGTGTGCGTCTCTCCCATCACCTGCCTGCCTCTGCAGAAAGCAGACATAGCCAAGGGGGTTTTAGAAACTGTTTTAGACACTGGCCTGAACCTTGTGAGCGACTGCAAATGTTAATAGATGCTTTCATGATGTTTCTGAGCTAAGAAATTGGTGCATCTCCCCCGCTGTCATTGACTTGTTAAACTTGCTTTATGCAGAACAAAATTGTAATGCACCTGGACAAGAAAGTAGATGTGAGGATTGAATTTTGGCTGTTTTCAGTTGCATTCCTACCCTGTAGAACTAAACAATGGGTTTAGAGGGGAAAGATTTTTTTTAATCCACTTCACCATATAGCAAAGCTGCAGACTATGACGTTTTGTCATTTCAGTGGTTTCTCAAAACCAGCATGCTGAAGTGTGAGGCAAGATTGAAAAAGTATCACAGAAGTTAAATCCTCAAACAGGGTTGAAATATTCTAAGAGATTATGGGTTCTGTAGCTGTGGTTCCTTTGTTTAGAACCTTTACAATGAAAGAAATGGCAATGTAGACGTCGGTCTGATGTACTGCACTACTTCATGTAGCTGGGAGTGTCACTTCTCTCAGGTGAGTTATGGATATTCTCTGTATGAAAACTTGCATTTAAAAGTTGATTTTGGCAAGCAAAACTTCTGGCTTAATCCAAGTATCCTCAGAGAAGGTTCACACTGTATATGAACAATGTGTAACCTTTCCTTTGATCTGCAGTTGTCCCTGTATTTCTGGTGCTATTATCAAAAGCTCCTTGAATTTTTCTGTGTTTAAGTAAATGTTCTGTTTGCTTATTTTAAGGAATAATTACTTAATAATGCATTTAGATTGTTTGTGGAAGTAGACTAAATTACGGTCCTTATAAAGACAGTTCTGTAATACAGATTAGAACAGGTATTTCCAGTTGATGGCTGTCAAGTTCTTGGGCAATTTTTTGTTAATGATGTGTCTTTGAGGTGGTACCAAAGAGCCTTTGGCTGTATTAGTAGTATGAAGTTTTACAGTTTGAAAGTTGAAATAAACATGAGGATACAACCTAGAACTTCATTTATTTAGTTGTGATTCCAGCCCAAACTATAAGTGAGCTTTGTTATAGTTTGACTTCCATTTAGATATCCCTCGTTAGGTTTGTCTCCTTTGGGATAGGCAGGGGGTGAAAGTCCTGCATTAAAGTATTTTCTTTCCTCCAGTGGAGGTATTAATAGGGATGGTGTGTCATTCCCTTTGGAGGTTTTGTGGGCTGCATCATTAGAGAAAGAAGATTCATACTTACTTACTAAAGATTTAGTTCTTTGCTGAACTGACTGTAAAAACTGGCTTCTGTCTTACCAGATCCATTTCTGGCCTGTATGGCAGCAGTTCTGGGTTTTTGGCAGGATTTTGTGAGACACTTTGTTGACCAAAGACATTGCAGCTCTGGAGTGAATGATCACTTCCCTGTTGTTTCATCCCAGCAGGGCTGTTAAAGGTCGAATTTCAGTATCTTGAGCAAGTACTGGTGGAGAAATGTGTGATAAAGCACACCTTGACTTTGAGTTGGTGTGGAGACCTCCAAGAGAGCTGGTCCCTAAATCACTGATGCCCAAAGAGAAAACTATGCCAGTTTTGTGCAGTCACTGTCACTGTGGAGCAGATCTCTGCAGTGAGTTGCTAACAAACACAAGTAGTGCTTAATTCCTTACCTCATGGCAGTTTTTCCCATGTAGTCGAATGGCTGATGGTTTTATTTCCTTTACCTCCCAGAATGCTTAAAACTATTGAGAGGCTTTCTGCTAGCAACAATCAATCAGAAACAATTTGTTTCTTTTATAGACTTTATTTGAAAGTATAACCAAAATATTTGGCAACATTCAGTACAGGTCTGTTAATACTGTGCTTCTAGACTGGTCTCTTCTTTAATGAAAAGTATCAATCACTGAAGCCTTCCAATAATCCACTTTTAAATATGCTAAAAATTTCTATATGGTTTTTAAGTGGAATTGTTGAGTTTGGTTTCTTCTCTGCACTTATTGCAAATTTTTCCATCTTTCAATAGCTTGGTATAAAGTTGTTCCTGACTCTGTGTCTGAATTCTGTGATTCTGTGTTTCGCTGTTGCCTCTGGACACATGACATTTAAGCAGTGCTGCCTTGGACTGAGTTGCCCAGGTTTTAGCAAATACTGCTAAAACAGTTGTGTTTTCCATCCTCATTTACTTTTGGGTGTGCTTTAGGTTTGAATTGTTTTCTCTGTGTGTGACACAAGGGCATCTGGATGTCCAAGTTGAAAGTAATTTGAGTTGGTTCCTCTACTTGGAGAGTAGCCCTGCTGTGGAGTGCTGATGGCAAAATGGCTTTCTGCATTTCTCCTAGTTACAGCTTCACTGGCCTGTTTTATTGCAGTGTGGCTAAAAAACTATTGGATACAAAAACATAAATGCTAGGAGGGGACAGACTGCAGACTGCATCAGTACTGTCTCCAGTGACAGCTTCAGAAAACACAAGGATGCAGATCTCCCAGCCTGTAATTATTTCCATGCTCTGAGCACCTTCCCCTATGCATTGGTCTGACATTGCTCCTTGGAATTGTTTGTGCTGCCCTTGGCCATGTTAGATCACTGAGCACAAGCACTGACACCCATTCCCAAGGCTTTTAGCACAAGGCTGGAAACACTCATGGTGTTCTCCCTGTGAAATTTAGAGGTCTTACCCTGCTTCCATTGAAAACAAAGACAAAACCCCTCAGTCTTCACTGGGACCATGACTGAGCTCAATAGTAGGATCTGAACATCATTTTGTACTGTAACAGAAATAACCACTTCAGCTCTTCCTTGATGCTGTTAGTCTTAAATGTACAGTAAATAAAACCAATATTATATGAAGGGATGGGTCACGTCTGTTCCTGCTCCCAAGACAGCCATTCCCCAGGATGAGTATTGTATACACTGTACAAAATCAAGCTGTGATTCTGCCTTCTACACCCTTTGAGTATTCTCCTTTTGTGAAAAATATCTATGCAGATATTTTAAATAGAAGCTTGATATATTAAATATATATTTTTTTAATTCGTTGATTTGGGTAGGGGTGGGCATTGTATGAAAACACTGGAGGGAGAAGAGGTTAAACGACACTAAGCCAGGCCTGCCATGCAAATCTGTTCCCTTCCAAACACCTTCTGAGAGGAGAAGGAAATAAATAAGGATAGCTAGGAGAAAACAAATCAATGAATATTCCTTTTCATCCCTTTTAAGTTAAAAAGGCATCTTTCTTTCTCACTGTCATTATGCAGGCTGAGCATTCTTTTCTTCTTTTATATACATATGCCTATATATATGTACACATGTGTGTATATAAACACACACACACACACATATATATATTTATACTGCTGTCTTAAACTAATGGGGTGTAGCTGTAAATAAAATTGCTGAGTAGTAGTTGTTCAGGGATTCCTGTTCAGCTTTAGTAATTTATTGGATATCCGAAGTCAAATGTGCAAAATCCTTTGCTGGAAAATTCCAAATCTGATTTCTTGTTTTGTTTTGCAGCTGGACTTGTAAATACAAAAGAAAAAATGTAGGACTGATTTAATGTCCACTTTAAACTGGGCAGTTGCCAGCTTTCCCCATTTTTGTATGTACTGTAGATTAGTGTGTGTCTGTGTTAACTATTAGTGGGGTTTTGTCTGACAAGCCTGGAATTTATACTTTGAAATAAAACTACTGGGTTTTTAACAGTTTGAGTCATTTGTGCTTAGTTCCTGACACCACAGGAGGCAGCCCTCAAAAAAGAGCCCAAAACCAGCTCCTCCTCTCCAGAGGTGTTTCCACCTTGCTCAACCAACATTGAGCAGCAAGGCTTTGGCTCGTGGTCATTCCCAGGAAGTCAGTGCATGGTGCTGCCCTCACAGAAGCAAAAAACCAAAGCAATGCTGTAACTTCTGCCATGTTGCCGTTCATGCACTTCTGCAAGGCATGGACAGAGAGAATAAAGTGACCTGCACCCCAGAGTTGCCCCAGATGAATTCAGGAATGGAAATCCAGTTGCTGGTGCTGCTCTCCTTGCCCTCCAAGATGCCAGGTTTGACCACCAAAGCAATGGTCAGTCTTTCAGCAAGAGGCTTTTGTCAAAGTACTGGAGTTTTTCAGAGCACCCTTCAAGCATGAAGGCCCACTCACCTGGCCAGGAAGCAGCTGCTGTGCACAGCACAAAGTGCATCTCTCAGGGTTATGAAATCAGGATTAATAAATTATAAATAAATAATTAACTAAAACATGTCTCAGTGCAGGCATCATGAAGGGCTCTGCCCCCCCACCCAGCTGCCTCCAGCGTAGAAGCCAGGAGCAGCACCATGCCAGATGTTGTGCAACTCATTTGGGACCAATAAACAACTGGACTAGAAGGCAGTCTGGGAAATTCTGCCTCGTGAACACAACTCTGCTGCCAAACTGCATGGAGTTACTGATGTGCCAAGCCTCTACTTCGAGGGCATATAATTAATTTGTGATGCTAATAATTAGTTTCCATGCACTTACTAAAATTTGCTTCAAGTCACTGACCAGAAGATGATGGACTCTTGTGAAGTGATGCCTCAGCACAATCCCACTTAAAAGTCCTGAGTTTCTCAAACTGCCTATTTAAATTACAAGTATATGTACTGCACATAGTGCAGAACCTATGTTTTATCATCAAATACAGCATAACTACTCTGCTCAAGCATTGCTGTAATTGCAGTTCCTGTTGAAGAGAAACTAGAAGTAGAGCAAAGTGAGAATGTGAACGTGCAGAACACACCGTTTGCTGCAGAGTAGCTCTGGCACACACTCCATGGTAGGGCTGGAAAGTGCTACAGCCCCAGAGCAAAGTCCATTTCTGCACACCAGTGATGCTTCTAGTAAGGAAACTGAAAAAATTTCAGCAGTCAGCTGAGAAGCAAATCTGAGCCAGCAGCACAGCACCAGGACACTGCCAACACAGTGCTCTTGGTTTCTCCCTGAAGTACTGTGCAGCCTGGACAGGCACTGGTCCCATGCCCCAGTGTCTCCTGCTATGACAAACTGTGGCCCCTTTAGAGCTGAGGCTGTGCAGGGTCTGACCACTGGAACCAGGAGGGGCAGGTTTGCTACTGAATTTCAGAAAAGGGGAATGGCAAAGCATGTGAAAACTTGTGTTCCATGTGACAATTTTGATGGTCCTGCTGAGAGGAATCATTTCCTCTACGCATTGACTGAAGAGTATTTTTTCATTATGGCAAGAGAGATTTATCACTACCACCTCCCACTTCCATCTCCCCACCAACTAAGTCCCTCTTCAGCCAGACCTGGAAACCTGAAGTCAAAGAATCAGAAGCCACAAGACTTGGAAAAACCTGAAAGCAGAGTATGAAAAAGGTGGCAACTTCTGCCACAAATCCTCTGCTTAGACCATACCTTCACTTTTTTTTATTCCAAGTGGCATCTGCAGAAGGAAATAAGATACTCAGAGAGACCTTTAAACTTCATGTAGCTGTCTGTCAGTTCTTTTGCACCTGCCAACAGGGCTATGCAATGCCGTCAAAGCCTCCTCTGGCCACTGATGCAGCTGTACAGCAAAGAGGAGGTGGACCTAGCTGCTGCGGTCAGGACTGGCAGATCAGCCCTAGCTGGCCTGGCATCAAAAGAAGCACAAAGGACAGCACAGCAAGAGGAAGGCAGTGGCCTTTAGCAGCACAACCAAAGGCAAAAAGTAGCCACAGTCACACAGACTCACAAGGTCCCATTGGTGTAAATATTTACTTACAGAAAGGCACTCTCAGAATAGCTCTGATGTCCCACAGCTCTGGGCTGGAGCACAAAGGTCATACCTCAGGGTAGGAGGCAAAGCTGCCATTTCCAGGCATGTTGTTGTGTCATGGGCACAGCACAGGTGTCACACAGCTCCACTCCCTGCAGGTGGAAGCATCTAGCTAGCTGTGCCCTGGGTCAAGAACACTGTTCACTGCAGCAATCCATTGGCAGTTTCCTGGTCCCTGGGGACCAACTTTTAAACAGAACTTCTCCATTTGTATTTTTTATATAAAACTGTGTGAAAAAGCAGTAAATTCATGCTGCTGCAGTGTTGCTGCATTGTCTAGGAGTGACAGTGAAATCAAGCCATCCTCCAGCCCCTCTGTGCTTTCAGTTTCAAACAAGCAGCTGATTCTTGGTCCTCTGCTTGCTGGCAGCTCAGCTCCTTGCAGTGTTCTTCATGACCCAGATCCATTCCCTAAGTGTCCTCCTTAATGCCTGCTGCAGCCTGTTCAATCCAGGTCAATTCAATCCAATCTGTGGCAGTGGCTCCACCCCCACATGGAGGAGGTCTCTGCACACAGCATCTCACACCTACCTCAGCAAACAAATCACTTCAGTCCTTTCATGAATTTTTCATCATCAACAACAGCTTTGCTGTAACTGCTGGTCTCCCTCTTCCCTTGGCAAAAAATCACCCTTGCTCTGACAGCAAATATTTAGCTAGAACCTCACTCAGTAACTTGCTCCCTTCCCCATCACACAAGCTAAACGCTAGAGGCTTCATTAAAATCTCACACTGCTCATCATTCTTCAACTTCATAACACAGGGCAGTGCTGTGCACTATTTAGCTTGGACCATCAAGGACATGAGGAAAGAGCTGTTTATTTTGTTTTACTTAATTACACATAGAACATCTAGCACAAAACTGCCTAGTGACTCAGCTCCTTGGTGTAAACACAGGTAGCTAAGAGTAGCCCTGGCCCTCACAGCCATCTCACTGTCACATTCCCCTGCTACAGCTGAGAGAGCAGACAAAGATGGCACTGAGCAACTGCATGGGCTGATCCATGCCCAAAGAGATCCCTTGTAAGAGATCCACTGCATCACATTTCTGTCCCTGCAGCCTGGGGTGGAGACATTTCTAAAGCATCAGGCCGCTTCTCTTCACCCTCTTTTGCAGCCTGTGCTGCTCTGGCCACACAAAGGAAGTCTTGACAGTGCCACTAAAAGTCACATCCTGTACAGAACAGACTGATCTGCCATGGAGAACGCACGCTTGATGGGAAGCAACTTGCAGCACACTACTCAGACAAAAGGCAGAGATCAAGCCAGCACTGAGGTAAGGCCATCACAGCCCAAAGCAGCCACCTGGTTTGTCCCAGCTGCTAGAAACAGATCACTCTCACTGGTGGCATTGCTCCTCACTCCTGCTCTGGGAACAGCTGTGATGATGGCTCAGATCAACAGAAAGCTCTGTCACCTGCTTCTCATCAATCCCAGTCAGAGGAAGGGCCACTCAAACAGCTCAGAAGAAAGGAACATGCTTTGGGCTGCAGAGAAGCAGCCAATATCAGTACAAAGTGCTTAGCAGGCGGGATATGGGAAGGCAGGTATAAGGCACAGGGATGTGGACATCCAGGTCGATTTATTACACAAGAAATAAAATTCCCATTTAAAAAAAATCCACTTGTGGATGCTGGCGCTGGTTTTACAGGATGGGCCTCATGGTAACAAAACCGAAGTTGTAGGACTCGGGCAGGCCCTGGTGCCGCGTGCGGTTGAAGCGTCTCCAGCTGAAGACCGGGAGACCTCCCTGAACCGGGGGGCCATTGATGGCCGAGGCCGTGAACGCTGCAGCCAGGCGGAAATCCGACACCTGGAACAAAGGACAGGAACCGGGGCAAAAGGGAAGCATGAGCCTTGGCACATCCCCATCCCAGCCAGCAGGAACAGCTCCGGGAGATTTCATTATAAGGTGAGGGACGAGAGCAGAGGGAAACTCACATAGGCAGCAATTCCTCCCCTGTGCAGAGGCACCTCCAGTCACACAGCAGCCAGAGCTGAAGGGCACCAGCAAACCACAAGCCCACACTTGCCCTTGCCAGGCTGAAAGAGCCAGAGCATCTGCCCTCAGGCCAACCCTCCCTGATTTTACGGGGCTGCAGTAGGTGGATGAAGGGTCTGCGCTAAGCTCTGCTGCATGTTGAGCACTTGGGCTATCCCCAGGGCATGTCAGGGCAATTCGGGAATGGAGAAGGGCAGCAGAATTAATATTGCTACCCAGGCTCTGCACTGCTCCTTCATGGTCTCCAAAGAGGTCCCAAGCCTCCTCCATCTTCCCAAACTCAGATACTAAATGTGTTGGTAGGGTTTATAACTAGAACAGGTTTGGCCTGTGCTCTGGGTCATTTCTTGCAATGCCCCTCTTAAGCCCCCCATTCCACCTCCAGCCCAGCCCATTCTCCTTGCCTAACTGTGCTGGCTAGGCACTGCAGCAGGCATTGACCACTCCCTTACCAGACCCCTCTACAAAGCCATTTTCTGCATTCCTCTTGTATTACCCAGCTCTGGGAATCTCCCACTGCTGTCCACTGCAACACACAGCTGGCTGGACACAGCAATGGAGATATTAAAATAGCCCCCCCGAGTTCCACCCTAGCAACCAAACTCATAATCCAGAAATGCAGCAAGCTGGACCCCACAGGATAAAACACTGAACAACTTTTCAGCACAGCTGCTTACTTGGGCACTGCTCTTCAGGTGAAAATATCATATCACCTGCCTAAAATAAATGCTGTTTTCTCCAGGACAGTGGGTCTAAGGATTTTCCCACATACCCCTAAAATGCAAAGTGATCTTCACCAAACTTTTGAGAAAGCGGTTTTGCAGAGAGGTGGAGGCCCAGAGTGGGGTAGCTTACTAGAGAGCCAGGCTTTTGTAAATGTAAACCTAAAGTGAGACTGCAACCCCTTTCCTGTGGGCTCTGGGAGGCACCCACAGAGTTCTAACGAACAGGAGGCTGAGGCTGTACAACAGTCTCCTTCCCTGAGTGAGCTGAAGATTCATTTCCTGCTGTAAGGATTTGGAATTTAACTCCTGAACACCACAAGCTCCCATGGATTAAGTTGCTTCATACATCTCCCTCTGTATCCTGTGCCACTGTGCCAGGACTGATGTCAGGGACAGGAAATGAGACTCTGCAGAGAATTCCCACCTGACGAGGTGCCCAAGCACTGGGACAGCATGAAAAGAGGGAACAGACATGCCTGGCCACGCTTGGCTCGGTGCAGGGAAGCATGCTACAGGTCTGACAGGAGCACAAACAGGCTGCAGCCAGCATTCAGCAAATATTGGAATTGAGGTAATTTACCTTGGTGTCATAGCAGCCTGCAGGCACTGGTATAGAAGGATTCAGGTCTTCCCGGCAGCAAATGGTGTTGCAAGGATTGTGTTCAGCATAAGGATCATGCTGATAGTCTGGGGTGAAATGTGGTGGGAAGAGCAGAAGAAAAGAAAAAAAGTTAGCCCCCTCACAGAAAGCCGATGCCAAATACTGGAGCCACTAAAAACTGGGTAACTGCACTCTGTCACATTGCTTTTGTGCTTCTCCACAGGTACCAGCTACATGACATTAAGTAGACAAGCTCCTAATTCAAGAGCATACAGCTACTTCTGCAACCCAGGGGCACCACTGCCAACCTGTAACCACAAGTATCTGCAATACCACCTGATGAAACTGTACATGACAAAAGGTTGTAGAAGCTTTCTCAAAAGAGAAAAGCAGAAGAGAAAGGGAAGTGGCAGGTGGGGGGTGGGGAGGGAGGGGGGAAATGAGAGCCTTTGTTTTCCTGTTCTGGATTAAAGTAAGTGTAAAGAAGCAAAACCTTTGAACACCCACTGCAGTAACTGCAAGCCAGAAGGGGAAGGTGGTGAGCTCAGCATCTACGAGCATGCTGCTACTCAGAGCCCAGACAGGAATGACACCCCACCCTGGGAGAGGCCTCCCAAACCTCAAGTCCAGTAAGCAGCACGCTCCCTGTAATTGGGAATAAAAATATAGCATCTAAAGCTATCAGTACTCTGAGATGGGCTTAGCCAGAAGTTAATTAAACTGGGTTTAATCGAGTTCAGGAGAGCCCTGTCAGGGAAAAACAACAGAGCATTACCTGCTGTCCTGGTTCAACCCCTGCTGGCAACTAAGTACCACACAACTGCTCATCCACATCCCTCCAAGCCCCATCCCTCATGGGATGGGGAGAAGAATTGGAAAAAGGTAAAAACCATGGGCTGAGATAACAACAATTTAAATAAGTGAATTGTTAATAATAAAAATTAAAAAGGAGAGGGAGGGCAAGAGAAAAAATCCTTAGAGAAAGAAGTGATTCACAATACAATTGCTCACCACCTGCTGACCAATGCAATGCCCTTCCCTGAGCAGGGATCAGCCCCTTCCAGCCAATTCCCACAGTTTACACAATAAGTACGAGGTTCAATGGTATAGAATATCCCTTTGGCCACTTCAGGTCAGATGTACTGGCTTTGCCCTGCCAGCTTCTTGTGCATCTGCTTGCTGGAAGAGCATGGGAAACTGAAAAGTCCTTGACTCACCAACAACTAAAACATCGGAGTTTAAATAATAGAGCTATCAACATTATTCTCATACTAAATCCAAAACACACTACTGTATTAACCACTTAATTAAGAAAATTAACGCTATCCCACCTGCAAAAGACCATTTGCCTGAACATGGGAAAAGACCTCAAGTTTTACACTAAATTCTCTGGTCTGATCACATCTAACTGTTGCTTAGGACTTAAGGCTTTCAAGATTGACAGGCTGTAGATGTATTAGGTGACAGCAGTCCATGAGGTCTCTTGGAGTACTCTCTTGGAGTCAGAAGCTTTCTGGAAAAGTCAAATAACAAGCCCAAGGGGCCTTGCTCTTGATAGGAAATTTTAGCCCAGTTTCCTACCTCCAAAGTAAGCTTGTGTTACCTTTTTGCTTTGTGTGTATTCTGCATTTAGGACAAAATAACTGATCTGTATGCGAGGCTGCAGCTTCCCACTATAATCCAAGAAATAAAAGTAACTCTGCTTATTAAGATCAGCTCCACAGCACACAAACAGGTGTCTTACTGTTGTATCTCATGATGTACTTCATGCTTTCCAAGTTGGTCACCTTTCCCTGGTCTCGACGGAAGATTTTGGCTCTTGGAGCAAGGTCATAGGAGAAATCCATGCCGTACTTGACAACATACGATGCATACCCACTGAGATTGTAAATCTTTTCATGGAAAGGGATATTGTATGAAGGCCAGTAACCTGTCAGAGACAAACCCCAATCTGTTAATCACTTGGAAAAGCTGGATGCTCTTGCTTGTATCAGAAAAGAAAATAATTAATTTTCCATTTTCTATTGCCTCACCAGCATGTCGAGGAACAACACAGAAAACTGGTTTGAATGCAATAAGGAAACAGTCACTGGCATGACCAGGGCTGACTCCCAGCCTAACACCACTGGAGACTGCATACCCAGGCAACCCGCCCCCAGACTTCCAGCCTCAGGACTCATCCTGCAAAACAGCTGAGATCAGACTTGCAGGAGCCTGAACACGCAGCATGGCCACAGCCCTCTGGCAGAGGTTTCCCTGCTGAACCTTAAAGGACTGCAAAATCATTTACTCTGGTTTTGCCACCTTCCCATCTCACCAAAGCAGAACACACCATGCTGAGACGTCAGGGAGGGACTGACAGACACAAACGCACGGAGACCACAGACACTCGGGGTGAACAGGAGGCAGGTCAGCACACACACGCTTTGTGCAGTGGGGGTTGCACATAGCCATAAAGAAAGACGGGGGATTGCTGCACATTTGGCAGTAGCTGCCTTTGAAGGTTAAGAAGTGATCAGCAGAGCAGAGCCTTGCTCTAACTTCCCCAAAAGCAATCCTGCACAAAACTGCCTGAAAGAAGACCGTTGTGGAAAGCTTTTGTAAAGAACCAGGAGATGTTCCAGGTCAGAATCTGGGTACAGGAAGTCCTAGAATATATAAAAATAGATAACTATACCTTAACATTTAATTTTTTCTATTGTTTAGGCAGCAAGTATATAACATGAGCTAGGTCCCAGAGTAGCACACTTTCAAGTTGTCTCCAAAGCACTAACATTCCCTTGTTGTTCATTCTCAAATCACACACATCAGGATTTGGCTTAGAGATTTACTACCTAGGCACTGGTAAATGCAGGCCTCTACATATTAAAATCAGCCCAGCATAGTGTGAAGAGTCTGGTGTAAGATGCTCAAAAAAATCAACTGGAACTCACTGGGAACAATACACACAAATACAAACTGAAGGATATGCAGACAGCATAAGCAGTGGAGCACTGTCTGAGTGGAGGCCTCACCAGCTTGGGTCCTGCCTAGGATAGGGAAGACAGGGTATTCCTGTCTGCTGGCATTTGCTTACGTGACCTAGAGCCTACCTGAAGGAAACGGGTTGTGTACAGGCTGTGTTGTAATACAGGCGTCCTCCAGAAATGAGCAACTTGCCAGCCTGTAACGATGCAGGCCCAAGGACACGGATACATCAGCTTCCAAACCAGTAAGGTTTAGCTGTGATTCAAAAAGGTGCTGCTGTCTCACACGAACACAGTGTGTACAGACGACCTCTTTCTCCCACCTGGAAAAACTTGTTAAAATTGCTAAAACAGAGAAAGCTATTAAAGTTCTTCCCTAGCAAGAGCTCTTCTGTGTCTCAGGCTCTGCCAGACTGCAAATCCCATGCAAAGAGTGCAGCAGACAACCTAAGCCAGGCTTTACACAAGGGCTGCTATGAGCCAGTGAAACCTGGCAGGGTGCACAGTGACAAAAAACAAGTCAAGAGAGACTGTGAAGTTGAAAGGAAGGGATGACATGAAGACAGCAAAAAGTCCCTGAAGCAAAATGCTTTCCTCCTCTGCACTTAAGAGAGTAAAAGGTATCAGCAACATGGAGAGACAGAGCAATAAGAATATTGCACATATGGTAGAAGACACTCAGATCCCAGGCTTTGCTCTGATGTGTTGATTTTGATATATTACTCATTCATCATCAAGAAAAATGAAGTGCAGCCTATTCCCGTGACCTACTCCTTCTCTTCAGACAGTGTTGCCCTCTCTCAGTTCCTCTAAAGGATTTCTGAGCTTTCTTTGTCAATATACAGAAAGCACCCAGACACCTTTGCCTGGAAAGGGCAATGCAAGATTCCTGGTATTGAGAACTCATCTGCACTGTCCTACAAAAACGACAGAAGCCACAAAGAAGAAAAAGGTTTCCATTTTCAAACCTGCATAAGGAAATGCTTCATTTTTCCTCAGTACAAGGTTTACTAAAGCAATACCTGCTTTTGTTCACCTGAGATTTCAATTCTCATTCTCTTTTGTTTCTAGGTTTATGCTTCAAAGAGACTTAAAAAGCAGATGCTGGTGGCAAACTCACTCTGACCAAACTAGTGTGCCCAAAGTGCATTATCTTGGGACACCTGCTACATGGCAATGATGGAGCTTGCCAGGGTCAGCTATTCTACAAAGGCTTTAAGCCAGCATTACTCTTGAGAAAGATAAACCTCCTTCACCTGAGCTGCTTCAAGCACCTGGGAACAGGGCAGGGGCCTTGATGGGACTTGTCTGGTGTCCTGCATGGCATGGAGGAGTTCAGATCTGCTGCTTACAGCAGCTGAGGTCTCCAAAACTGCCCTTTGGCAGGGCTTAGCTTACCCTGAGTGTTGAAGGCTGTCCTCCTAATGTTTAAATTCCCAGAGAATGACTGCTCTGTTATCCAGTATGCACAAGGTACACTTAGATATCTGGGAAAAGACATACTGTAGGTATGAGGTGTAACTTCTGTAGGTAATTTGTAACTACTCATACATGCTGCCACCTTTGAGAACAGAGCAGCTGCAACATCTCAGAGGGAAGAAGTGGTCACTGTGTGCCCAAGCCCAGGAGTTGGGCTCAGTCCTACAGAGAATGCCACACAGCTGCTCCAAAATCCTTGCTGAAAAGGAACTCAAGGTACTTGCCAAGCCTGGCCTCTCTGCACAGGTATAGCACTGCCATGCTGGGGCTGCAATGTTTCCAGTGCCAGAGCTAGAGGGTCTCTATCAGCTGCTTTGTCTGCATCCCACACCCAACACAGCATTGAGAAGCCCAAGGCAAAGGAAGCCAAAAGAGACTGACAATGTGGCAATGCCTGGAATAAGCGAGAACTTTCCAAGAAGCTAGACACAAGGAAAAATTTCAAAGAGAACTAACCCCAGCTGCTAACATAGACAAATTTCCCATCATTTTGATGATGAGCAATTTATCAATTTATCCCCTCAGCATGTGATTAGGGGAAGGAGCACAAAGCACCAGATACACTTAAGGCTCAGGCTTTTTGTTGATGTTCTAAGTGTCTAGTAAACACTTGAAATTAAACCTGACAGTGAATGTTCTGCTTGACCAAGATTTTTGTTTGTTTTCCATCAAGTTCTTGCCAGTCTTGCTAGGGAATTAAAGAACCTTTTAAAAAACAAATATTTATCAGAAAACAGAGATCCAGAAAAGTTCAGGAAATTAATTTAACATAGAACTTCTTTGGTATTCAAAATTTCATCTTCTTGCAGGGTGACCGACTCAACAATCATTTTGAGTAGCCCACAGCATCACAGTTATTTAGTACTGCCCCAAACAGATCTCACATTTTCCCTCATTGGTCTCTACAACTGGGAAAAATAATACCAGAAAAAAGGCAAGGATGCAGACAAGCAAAGAGACAAAGTCTATTTTTCCCTCCTCTGCTTCTAGGAGACACAGATGTTTACTGCATTCCTGCCACAGCATACCAGATAAATGAATAGATTGCAATTCACCCAGATGCATAGGGATGCTCACACAAAGCTGAGGGTTGCTCACACAAAGCTTCCTTACTTAAAACTCAGGACTAGTGTTCAACAAACCCCTCCCTGGTACAAAACACAATTCTCAGTCGGCATAAAGAGATGGTTTTCCTAAGCCAGTAACTACTATAGGAACTATTACCTTTCCGGAGAACATTTGTTTGATCAGAATACTCCACAAGGGTTGGGATCTGCTCGACAATGTACAATGCACCATCATCGAGGCTCCTCTGCAGCTTGACCTTCTTCAGGTCTAGAACCATGTACTGATTGTTGTAGGTTCCTGGGTACGAGAACAGAGAGAGTTACATGTCCTGCCAAGGGAAGGAAACAAGCACAAGAGGTAGAGGGAACACATCTTTTTTCCTAAGATGCATATACAGGTGTACTTACCAGAGTTGCACTTGGAGAAGGTCTCTGCCCAAGTTTTGCCATCATTTGCCATCATGTTGGCAATGCGGACCCTCTGCCAAGCTAGCAAGGATTCAGGCACCACTTGCTTAATGAGGGTTTCATTATAAACACTGTTGGTAGTCTGCAACATTACCAAGCCGCTGCCCAGTATGTAAAAGTCATCCAGGGACACCAAAAAGCCTTAAAAAGCAGTAACACAAAACTTGTTATCTTTGTGAACCTTTGATATACTCATAAAACAAAACAGAGATAAGTGATGAGGACACGGATGAGTCCATCGTGTGTGTGTGAACTTAAACTGTACAAAGATTAAAGATGAGGTAGTAACTTCTGCAAGGGCTTTGGGCCCACCTGTCAACACAGTTTGAAATGAGAAACTGTCACGCTTTCAAGACACCTAATTCTTTGTCTAAAGCATTTCCTTTGTGTTTGTATGCCAAGCCTGGAAGCTTCTCCATAAGTCAACCTATGTCTTATGCTAAGGATGACATACCCTAAATACCTGTGAAGTGTTTGTTTCTAACAAAGAAGTGAACTAAAAAAATATAAAAATGCAACAATGAAAACCAAAGCAAAGCACAAACTCCACAAAAACACTTTCATCAACCAGTATCAGTTTTAGATTTTTACCCTGTAAAGACAACATAAATTCATTTAATTAATTGAATTAATCCCCTTAATTAACTCCTTCTGTATTAAATCAAGCAGAAAAATCTTCCTTCTAGTTTAATCTTCTCCTAAGTATTCTTAAAAGCATCTCAAGACACGGGCATCTCTTAAATCATAAACCACATCCTGTATATGAGGAGAAGCTCTACCTACTCCTCTTCCTGACATGTTGTCACAGGGGTTTTTTATTCCTGCCAGCTCTGCAAAGTCAATACAGCGATGGATCCTGTGGGCAGGATTCCCTTCCAGGTTACATGCCAACAGAAGTGCTAGGTCCAGTTGCAAACCCTTTGCCAAGAGGTGGCATACAGAGCTGCAAAGGTCAGCTATATGCCTTGGATAATAGTGTGGGGACTACTTGTAGAGCAGAAATAACTTGGCCTTTAGATTACTCAGCAGATACATGGCTGCCAGGCTGGGGAAGAAAGGTTGTTAAGCAATCTGGTCATGGGGAAGTCATACAGAGCCTAAACTCTTGTTAAGAAGTTTTTAATAGCATCCATCTACAAAGAGTACAAAACGCTAAAATGCTGTGTTACACCAGAATAGTTGAGCTCCTCTATGAAATCTTCCACAGCAAACTTTATTAACACAAACTGCAAAGGTCACCAACCTACGACAGCAAGAGAGACAACCAGCTTGGCCTCCTACTCCTGGGCTTTTATCAAAAGGCAGACCAACTTCAAGCAAAAGTAATCTTTAAGGGCTCTAGTTCAGCAAAATTTCTTTAAAGAAGCAAGTTCTCAAATTAGAACAGATCCAGGAACATACACTGTGTGGACATCTGTTCTCTAAAAAAATATCAGTATAGAATAGACTGAGCACTCTGGTATTACTCAATACATTATGTACATTATCAGCAGAGATCTCCCTCAAATAAGTAAGGAAATGCGAAACATCCTAAATTTGGCTCTGCCAGTCTATTTTATACAAGGACTTGGGATACTCTAGCAATAATCTGCTGCATAACAAGTCAAGTGGTGCTTGCCCAAACACAGGCAATAATTGAAATTTTTGAAACAACTGTGATGTGAATTGAGCATCAGTTCCTGCGGGTGACAATGCCAAGTGTCCTACTTCAAAACAAACAAAGTAATTTCTCTCTCCAATTTCAATCAACAGCTGAGATAGAACAGAAAAACTTGACTCAAAACAAGTGCTAACACAAGGAATGATGCTGAATTAACTGAAGGTTGAACTCTGTAATTCAAATAAACTGCAAAGCTCAGCTAAGCTCAAAAGAAGGATATTTCCTTCTGGGTCTTAGTATTTACCAAGTTTTATCCTGAAATGTTTTATAACACAACATGCCCTCCATTATACACCATTACCAACTTAGTAATTCCAAGATGGCATTTTGATTTAAGGCATAGGCAACTCTGAAACAAAGGGAAGCTAAAATACAAGCAACAGGTTACCCATGGTATAAAGACATCCAGAAAAATAAAAGCTGGGTAGAGAAGTCTGGAGATATCAGCAGATGTTTGATGTCCTCTTGAGCCATTCTTCTAAGTATGTATGAGAATCTGTTGTAAATGAAGGTGTTATCTCACTGTATGCTTCTTCTATGTTTTTCCTGTAAAACCATCTCTGCAAACCCACTTCCCATTTTTGTTATGAACACTCAATCAAATTTGTTTTATTTCATTGTTTTTTGGGGTTTTTTAACCCCTCCCTCCAATGAACCTGACAACTCTACAGAGAAACAAGCAAAAGTACTTCTGATTGCATTTTCTGGATCTGATCCATTTAGATTCCATTTCCAAATGCCACTGGAAAACGAAAGTTTCCAGAACATGGAGTTGCACTCACCATGACATTAATCAGCCAAGCAAAGCATTTTTTGCAATCTGAGCCACAGTGTTCTCCAGAAAGTCAGCACATCAAAGAGCATGTGGGTGGCAGCACGTTCTGGGGTACTATTGTTCTGAAACAGGTAGACTGCTGCTTTCTGAACCAGACAGCATCAGCTTTTTTGATGCTTTAAAAGGTCACTGTGCTCTTTCAAGTATAGCATCGGCCAGCTTTACAGGCTGGAAGTCAAAGCTATGAGGTCTAGCCCACCTCTCAGGACTGGGAGTAGCTCCTAGCTGAGATGCCCAATGCTCTAGTGTATAAACACATTTGAATATGGGAAAATAAAGGTATTCTCTGGATTAGCAGAGAATCAGCAGCTGCTTCTCATGTCAAGGCTGAACACCCATCAGCTGCCTCCCTTCCACTTGCGCATCTCTCTTAGGCACTAAGAACAAGCACACACCACACCATAGCTCTGGTCTCATCTCCAAAGCTCACCACACCTTCCTTTGCTTCCCTCCAGGTTTTGAACACATGCTGGAGGAAGCAAGAAATGGTCTGGCAATACCTTATGAGCAAGGTACTCCTGAGAACAAAGGCTACCATCTTTTCCATGGTTTGCTCCTCCCAGCTCTTCCTCACGCTGTGGGGAAGGATTATGCTGCATTAACACCAAATTGCTTCAAAGCAAGGGACACAAACTACCTCTCTCTCCTGCCTTAGCATGGATAGATAGATGGATAGATATGACATGTATAGTCAGCCATCAAGACTACTTGCACCATCTTACTCGCACATCACCACCTAGCTCAACCCAGAAAGATCCCAATAATCGACCAGAGGAGGAAAGGGGGAAGTAAAAGTCTTCAACTGTTCTTCTTCAGCTGTTTTGTTTAAGCTGCTAAAATCAAATTAACATACTTTAAAAGACCATGTCTCAGCACAGAGAAGGTAGTTCACTATCCAAACCAGAGTGCTTAGTCAAAATGGCACATTCCTGCTCTTAAATGGAGTTCAAAAGAGCTCCATCCAAATGGATGAAAATCCTGGAAGCTGCAACCCCCCTGCTATCCAAAGAAAATAATAAATTTTATCAGTTAGTCTGGCTCATTTCTTTGAATGCCTCAATGGGCAGTGTAAAGAACTGACCAGACTTGAGGAGGGAAAGGGGCACAGAGGGAGGAGAAGTGCAGGTTCCTGTCTGAACCACCCCTAGATACGTGGCACAAAACATAGAACCTACCTTGTCTCTATCACTTCCTTACTCCCTCACATGAGCACAGCTTCATTCAACATTTGTGAGGAACAGTAACATCCTCTGTACAATTTCAGTTCTCTCTGCTATGCATTGATTCACAAGCCACAGGAAGTACTCATGTCCAGAGCTTGAAGAAGACAATGAAGCTCAAGCTTCCAGTTCAGAGATATTCCTCCTTTCCAAAGGTTCACAGAACTGTCCTACGTGCAGCTCTGCAGACAAAGACTATGAGCAGAGTTCAAGTGAGAATTAAGGTGAGTTAGTATGGAAATGAGCAGCAAGTAAAGAAATCATTCTGCAAAAACAGAGATTACAACTCCCATTAATTCCCACTTGACTGTGCCTCTGCAGGACTACTGCTGCTCTGAAAGGGAGAAAGCAGCAGAGAAGATATGCTGTTAACAATGGACATTTGAACTTGGTGGCAGAACACTGGTAACTGCTGGGTAAGCTGGGATGGACTCTACTCCTGCCTGTCCTCCTACCTGCTCACTCACAACATGAGCAAAGAAGTGCAAGGCCCTCCAGCTGCACCACAATGCACACCCTAACACAAATCATGGTTAGTCAATAGCCTCAGAACCTCTAAACTGAGTCACAGCTAATACTAATTTTTGCAATCTAGTAGCCTGTCTTTTGAAATTCAGTAAATAAAGAAATAATATGGTTAATTTTATTCTGTGACCCCAGGAGAAATCATTGATTTCGCATATTCCTTCTCAGAAGACAAATGACCCCTTAACATTTTCTGACACACCTTTTGGACAGCAGCATAGTTTTACTCTATATCCTATCTTACTGGATGACAACTATCTTTGAATAACTCAGTTAAGTGTCACTGAAGGCCTAGAAGGGCACCAGTCTTTTAGTGCTCTCTGTTTCCTCCAGAAGTTAAAAGTTCTATGTCCATAGGATCATGTTACTATTCAGTTGAGATTACTATGATGTAGCTTTTCTTACTGGTTCTTATGTCTATCAGGACAGAGACTAAAAGCAGGAACATTTATGCAAGTAGACATTACAATTGTCAGGCTGAACCATGGCCAGGAGCTGCAGATTCCAGAGTCAGATGCTCTGAAAATATCTCTCATCATAACATGGAGCAGAGGAATTTGGCAGTTGCCTCCTTCCTACGTGATGTCCCTGGAGCATTACTGGGCCAGTGCTTACGCATGCCATGGAAAACTGCAGGTCTGTGAACTACACCCACAGCTAATGCAATTTGCTGCAGTCAATGGACCATGCTTGTCTAGTGCTTGTGATAGCGCCCTGTCATCAGTGAGCATCCTGTGCATGCCACAGGCCTCTCTTAACTTCACTGTCACCATGGGAACTATGCTTTGCAACAGTTCTCACTCATCTGGTTGGTAGAAGTACACCTTCCCACACCACTATGTTAGAGTCCACATGGCAATAGCAGGCTTTAAAATCAGCCACCTCTGCAGACCTCAGCCCTCTCAGGGAAGCACAGTGGGATTTTGTATACCAATGAACAGACCTTCAACTGTCACCCTGATTTTTTAAGATTTTCTAAGTCTTCTGATGTTTACATTCTTGTAGCAAACTTTCTCATACACTTTCTGTAAATAACTTATTGTTTTGCATTCTTTTATGGAGGAGGAGAAATTCGATGGACTGTAAGTTTGTCCAGTGTCATTGGAGATGTGGCACTTTCCACTGTCTAATCCACTTTCCACCTAATCCACTGTCTAATCCACTGTCACTAATCCACTTTCCACCTCGTGGAAAATTGTAAGTGTTGGAGTCAGAAAACAAACTTTCCCTTTTCTTCACCTTGAGAGCAGCAGTGTGTGCGCTTGTTTTGTTTCGTGTCCTATACTGACACCAACCATTTCAGCAAAGCAGTAGCTGATTTTCAGGTATCCTGCCACACACTATACTTTGCCAGTCTCATAAAACCATAATATTTTTATTTCCTTATACAAAGAATCCACAAAAGGGGACAACTGAAATACATCACCACAGACATCCACTAAAAATAAAATAATAAATGCTCTGTGTGGCTGATCATGATCCCCAATTTTGAATCTGCAGCGCAATGCAACATACAACAGTTGCTAAACAGAGCCACATTCTTGTCAAGGGTAGTGCTATCATCAGTATTTCAGCTGAGAGATATGAGAGCCAGAATAACCTCATGAACATTCACGTGATGAACAGAGCTCAGAAACCTTTGCTTTCAACCAAATTACACAGACTCGGCAAAATTCCTTGTAACAAGCAAGTGAAATTCCTCTGAGGCAATCACAGATAATCCAAGCTCTTCAAAGGATGTGCACTCAAGAGACATTCAGGCTACCTCTACTCCCTTCCTCAGATAAAAAATCTCAGATGTCAGAAAATGCTGCATTCCTGAGGAGGCTCAGACCCTCACAGAAAAAGTCTTGTTTTCAATGTGAAATGAATGCAACTGCTTTTCAAAACATTCTCCCAGTCACAGTCTCAGGAGACCCTGCCATGAAGAACCCTTACCCTTACAGTAAAGCACCATTACTCAACAAAGCACATTTGGAAATCATCAGCCAACAAAATTTCATGAGAATGACAGTCTGCTATAGTATTTACTTCATTTAAAATGTTTTATGAAGATTTTTTGTTTAGGTATTTTTGAACTTGAAATTTCACCTCTAAAACCTTATGCAATGTCAGCTCTAAGAGGGAGTTATAGTTTTGCTTTGGTTTTTCACGCTCTCATTTCTTGGTGCTGTTCTTGGTACTACCTAGAGCACATATTTTGCTCTTCAAACATTACTTGCTGGCAATTTCTAACATTTGGCCTAATCTTCCCAAAAGAATATTTTTTCTAAATATTTTGGCTGGCTATATTACTAACACACCAAATAAGCATTAAAACATACTCTCCTCTGCAACAGCTTATAGAGAAGCTGAAAAAGGAAGATATGCAGGAAAGGGAAAAAAACCCAAAAAACAACAAAACAACTGAAGGCTCCTGAACCCAAGATCAAAGAAACTGATACACTTCCAAACAGCAAGTGTTTGATACTCAGTAATAGTCCCATTACAGTAGGAGTCATGTCACAGTGGTAAACAGAAGCACTCAAAATTGTTGTTACCAAACATGCAAATGCTACAGGAATGGTGAGGAGTTCAGCACTTGAGATGACTGCAGACTACACAAGCAGAATTCAAAGCAGCATGTTTGTGCCAGAGGTAAAATATTTAACCAGTATTATTCAGAGTACTGAAGGTGATTAATCAACAACAAAAGACAATGACAACAATATCATGCTCAAGACAGAAAATTCAAGCTGGCATTTTGTCCTCTTGGTTGCTAAAAGTTCTAAGGTAGATTGAAGCCAGTGCTTCTTTTCACAGCCAGGACAGCTACAAGACAGTAAGGTGGTCCACGCTAAATTGAATATCTACATATTTTTTTACTTTACCTGGGTAACTACTGAATGAGACCCGGCCAGTGCTGGTGTACGGATCAACTATATTGAAGTTCCAATGCTTATATATTCTCAGTGTGGCTGCATAAGTAAACCAGCTGGAATGGGCAAAATATATATTCTCATATCCAGGTAGAACCTGGAAAACAGAAGCAGAAAGATTAATAATTTCAGACCTCATGATATTCTGCATGTTTTCTACTTGATAGAAACTGGGAGAACTACTTGTTTTAAGTAGTTTCATTAATTGCATTATTGAAGAAAGAGCAGATTCTTGTGCTTTTAGCTGTGCACTAAATGAATTTCTGAAACCTATAGAAACAATTCTTACCTATGTGTTGTTTTCAAAATAAAACATCGTGGGGTTATTTGGGATACCTGCATCACATGGTATAGGTTTTCCTCCAGTTTCATTTGGAATATTTCTATTCACACATTCAAATCACATCTTTTCAAATATATCTGACATCAATTTAAAACATGCTGTTTCTGTGAGAATTCCTCTGGCTCACTTTGAAGTGAAGTACAGAAACAAATGCAAGTAAATTTCATTTGAAAAGGTAAATACATATGTTGATAGTACATATTTTCAAAATATGTCCCTGGTTCCACAATTTGTTGTTAGCTCAGAAACCTCTTACTGTAAGCAAATACTTTAGTTCATGTTTCTCAATTTAAGGTGAATATTGTTGCTCTGCGATACATTGACTCTCTGGATGCTGATGAAATCTTCTTAACAATTTTAACTGAAAAATGTAATTGCCAATATGATGCATCAGTCACTTATCTTAAAACTGTGGGGTTTTTTTCTGTCATCATTCCTACTGGAAAACCATTCAAAGGTATCACTATTAACAGAAAACATCAGCCACTTGCATCCATTTGTTTTTATGCTAGCACTATCCTTTAGTTTAAATAATCCTTTTCCTTTTTTTCCCTGCTTATTTGCCCAATGTATTTGTAGTCACTCACAACATCTCTTTTCAGACTTCACTTCTCTAGGTGAATGAGTTATTTCTCATTTAGTCTCCCCTCCCTGGTATTTCCTCGTTCCCTAGTAGTTCTAGCAGCTTTTCAACATCCATCTCTGTGGTTTTAGTTTGGTCTTTTCCCTCCCCTTGAACACAAGTGAGAAAAACTGGACTCAAAATCCTATAGAGGCACAAATGACAACTGCATATATGCATCTTGATCATTGACAGAAGTCTCTTTATGCACATGCAACATGAACAGGGAAGACTCCAGAAATGCAGACTCATGACACTGCAAACCAACAGAGTCACTGGAGATAAGGTTCTGGTGCTCACCTTGATCAGTGCAGAGCAGTGTCCCATGTCCCACTGGTATCTCCCATGGCCTCCTGAATCCACACTGCATTGTCTACCTCGTGCAGAATAATCAAACAATGCAGGAATAAGGTCCAACAGGTCTCCAACTGCATTCAGAAACTGGACATCAAAGTTGCTCAGTGGCTGAATAAAGGAGAAGATGACAAAAAACACTTTGAGACAGAAAAACATCAAGACAGCCTCAGTGGTTAGAATTTTTCTTTTGCTCCAGAAGGAAGCTCTCGTATGGCCTATGAAATGCCTACTGACAAGGCCCAGATGCTCACACTCACTATGGCACCAGGCACTGAGGAAGCTTTCAGGATCTGGCCCTTGTAGTGGCATTACCAATGCTACAATTTCTGAGGCAAAAAGGAAGATGTAACTGTAACTCAAGAAACCTGAGTGTGTGTTTGCAAGCAGCATGTCAATCAGTCTGTTACAATTTACTGAGATAAAATTTAATTTTTTTGTTTATCTAGATGTCTTTGAAGTGTCTTCCACTAATGGTCTTGGGAGCTCTCAGACTTCTATAAACACTGCAATTTAAGACATCCTCAGGACTGAGGAGGAAGAAACACATGAGGGGAAAAATGATAATACCAATCAAATAGCTGAATGAGGAAAGTCAGTCAAAAGGCACTCTGCTATGTGCTTTAGAAAACTCCTTATGGTTAGAGCTAGTCAGGGTTAACTACACACAGTTGGTTGTGCAACATGCTCTTTAGAACCTCCTCTTACTTTGCCTCTTCAAAAATAAGAGCTTAATAGTGGTTTAACCTCAACCTGCAAATACCGTGTTCTAAATCTTTCCTGTTCTTGCTTTCACCATGCCTTTTGTTAAGGCAAGGCTTAAGAAAAAAGTCAGAACACACATCACTGTGGTGCTTGAATAGTAATTTTATAATGCCACATAATCATTTAGCAAAGAAACACATTGCAATATAAATCACTGTTACTAAACCATATAGCTGACCTCTCTACAAACCCCAGTAAAGGGGGACAAGGAAAAATGAAACAGCATCAAATTAATTTACTTTTTATTCAGAATAAAAGTATTCTGAATATTTTTATATTGAATGTAATATATTAAATATAAAAATATTGAATTCTGAATTCTGTGTCATCCATCTCCTGCTTTGGCTGAAAGAATAACCAACAGGAAAACCAGAAACCATGTAAACTCCAGTCCATGCATCCCATAGGAAGGAATGCGACCTTCCCACAATGTTTACAGACAAGAGAAATAAGCCATTCTGACAACTAAAACCATTCATGGCAGAAAGCCCCAACAGCAGCTGTAGTTTTAGTCAGAAATCCAAAGCAAACTTTCATGTGTTACATTGCTTTAGTTCATCATGTTTTTGCAGTAAGGATCCAAATAAGGGAGCAACATCAAGAGATGTGTCTTTGGATGGTTTAAGCAACTTAGAGGTATGAATCAGTTACAAACCAGTCACATTTTCCAATGTCTGATTCACACAGGCATCACTGTACAGTACCACCAGGAAGGGTGCAAACTGGCTTGCATGAGATTGCTCCAGCAGTCAAGATATTTTAATTGTACTTGACACCCATTTGCTACCACTCCATTTTCTCCTTCATAAAACCTGCATTCACTGTAATATCTAGAGGTAGCTACATTGATACTGCTACAGCAATGGTCAGAACTGCCTGTGTATTTTTAAAAAGTTTCACGTTTCTGTGCTTTCTTACCATCACTCCAAATTAAAACTTCTGTAACTATTAGGAAGTCCATTCAAATTAGAACAAAAGTGCCAAGCAATGAAGCTTTCAGAACAATAGGCACAGAAAGCAGGAGGAAAGACCACTCAAAGCACAGGTTAAGCAAATTCCTAAGGCACTGGGTGAGATTAGGCTGCCAGCAGCCATAGCCAACCAAAATATCAGAGATGCAAAAGAAGACTAGGCTGTTAAGCACCCTCCAGAGTTCTGTTTTCAACTCCCTTTTGAGGGTCAAGCAAATTTTATTCTAGTTTATTTCCAAAAATTCATTACTCTCCTTGAATAAACCTGGTTTTGTGTTTAAGACTGTCTGATGTGACATCACATCAGCACTGTGCTCCTCTGGAGCCTCAGTAAAACAACGCATTCAAACAGAAGACACAAGAACCTGCACTGCAGGCTCAATCAGGAGTGGTCTTAAGCATCTGCCACAAGACAGCTGAGAGCGCCAGTTTGGAAAAACGACAGCTGATTTCCAGGATATATGAAGAAATCTTCTCTATGATGAGTTAATCAGTGTTCACTAGCAAGAATTAAACCGAAAAAACTGCATCATAACAATGCATAATATAGGGCATATTAAAATTTTTTGTAATCACTTTTTCCCATCTCACTCAGCAATGTCAGAAAAACTGCTTATAAACATTATTTAGATCCTGAAGAAGAATGAATGAACTAAACTGACATGCAGAGAGGTGGTAAAGCCACATCAAAAGTCCTTTTGCTAGAATGTCTGTCTCCTCTAGGGTGCTGTCCTGAACAGCAAAACAAAAAATCAATTTGTTAGCCAATCCAAGAAAGGCAGAAATAAACTTACAAAGGGCAGCAGAAAGGAGAGAACCTGCCCTAAAGGCTTGTTTACATGGGACATTAAAATAGGCAAGTTATTCTGTAACAATTGTTTTCCAGTACTTGTCCAAGCCTGAGCACTCTGAGTAGAAAATAAGGAAGCATAAATAGAGATCTATCCTGGAGTCATTCTAGTATTTAAAACTCTGACACCTCCTCATTCAAGAGTAATATCCCTGTGTAGACAAGCCCAAGATTAATCACAGTGTTGGAAGAGCATTAGGCAGATGAAAAGGCTTTATGTTCTTTCAGTGCCCCTCCCTCAGAAATTGTCTTGACAAAAGGGCTGGGTTTGTTTACTGGATATAAAATGTTGCTAAACCAGATGGAATAATGTAACATTTAAACATAAAAATGTATTCAAATTTTGACATCACTCTTAATGATACCTGTAAATATCAAATACAAAATACAGAAGTTTACAATGTACATTGCCTTCATGCAGGTCTTAATGGAAGAATCTACCTAAAATAGTCCTCAGGACTCCATGCAACAAAAACCCAAAGTTTAGAACAAAACAATACAAAGCATTTCCTTCAGAAAGAATAAAAAAATATATATACTAGTGCTACTACCAAATCATTCAAAGCCCAGATTTTCTTTCTGCAGTAAGGCTCAGTTACTTGTGGCAGACACAATGGTTCTACAATATTCAAATAAAGCAATTTGAATTTTAGGGGAGAGCAGAAAAACAGAACATTTCAGAATTACTTATGTGCACATAACCCAGCTCTCACTTAAGAAGTATCTGGCTCTGGTTTCAAACTACCATGCATAGTACCAGAAAACAGAATTAAAAAATTAAAAGCAGATTAGTTATGAAACAGCTTGTTTTCATTCTCCTGAAAAGGAAATAGTTCTATAAAACTCTGCCCAATGCCCAGTGTTACAATTCACAGACTTCATATACACAGCTGCTTTTCTTCATCCCCTTTATCTCTTTTAGCCTATCCATGTCAATCAAACACCTTCTCAGGGTTCAGGAGACCATCCTGTCTATGTATGATCAGTCATGGTGCAGGGAAACCTAAGAACCTTGAAACTATCTCCTCTTCCCCTTCTCTTTCTCGTGTCTCTGGTATTTTGGGAGTTAAGGGGAAAACCTTCCTAGCCTTTCTTCTACAGTATTTACTCTTATTTCAAGCTTAAGACAGTGGGAACAATTCTCGTCTACATATACAGAATAATATGTTGAATTTAGAAGTACAATAGTTTTCCCAACAGCAAGTAGAACATCAGAACATCAGGCAACAAAATACAGACTGTCACATGTTGAGTTTTGGCTTGGTTTGTTTGGGGTTTAGGGGGTTTCTTTTGTTTTGTTTGAGTGTGAGTAAACAAAAAGGAAAATAAAAATGCCCCAATTCATACAAGAGGTATTTTTTAATATTTCTGATGTTCATTACCACCATGCATTCAAACTATTGAACTACTAGACATCAAAAGATAGACTTGTTCCTGATGATGATAATCCAAAGACAATAAACACATGGAAAGGATTGTTTTATTAATGAAACAAAATAGTATCTACTAAAGGAAAGAGTTAAGAAGAGACTTCCAAAGCACTGAGGAAAATGTGCTATAGGAATCAGATTTGCTTTTAAAAACATGCAGAATTTGTTACAGAGACTGAAGTATGAAATTTCTTTGATTGTTTTATTTTGTAAATTGAGTAACAGAAAAGTATTCGTTACTGGAGTTGCTGTTCAAAAAAAAACCAAAACCGAATCAATTGGGTTAATAGAACTAAAGTACAATACTTAAGAAAAAAAGTAATCTACTAGGCAAATTTATTTGCACTTTGGATGGTGGATTTCTTTAATCACAAGGGATAAGAGAGATACTGGTGGTGTTTTTGCTTGTTTGGTTGGTTTGTGAGTTTAGTTGGGACTTTTAAGTGCCAACAGTTTACAGAAGCCGAGCTGATTCTCAGATAAATGGATGCGCCAAATCTAGAATACCAGCCAGAAGCTTTGCAGCTGCACCTGTTTTTATTGCCCATGTAAGCTCACAGCAACAGACTTCAAGGTCTGTTTCCTGAAGGACATCCCAACAGCAATAAATATGCACACACAGTGGTAGCCTAATCTCTCCAAAGTACTTGAAAAGTATCATGGTGTCCAACAAAATGAACTCCGTGTACTTTGACAGAACATTTTACAGAATTTCAGGTATCATTCTGATGCCAAGAAAACCTAAGGACCTGGCTGCAAGAGCAGCTGTCCAAAATGTACTCAAAGACAAGGACTGATGTTAACTTAGTGGCTGTGGCAAAGAGAGGAAACAGCAGCACCATTTCAATTAAGAAATACATACACAGTGAACATTTTTGCTTTGAATAATAGTATATGCATCTTATGCTTATATACATGGGTGATAATGTCCAAAGCTAAAATTGTGCCTGGCAAGGAAAAGAGTCAAAATAAATCCCATCAATTGCTGCAAGTAAGTCCAGGAAAAGAAAATATTTCATGCATATAATTCAAGAATGGAGGACACATATATTTCAGCCTGAACCACACATCTGAACTTTCACCAAATGCACTATTCTTATATAGACATGCTAGTGAGATCTCTAAAGAGAGGATAAAAATTATTCAAACACTTCAGAGGTCAGTGCTTTTTAGTGCATAGTTAAATAAGCAAGCATCAGGGAACACACTTTGCAGGCAGGACATGCCTATCACAAAGAAGTAACTCAGACACAAACCAGCACTTTTCCCTTCTCCTCACATGAATCTAAAAGATTCTGAAGCAGCAAAAAAGCCAAAAACCTGATGAGCTTGACAGGGCTTGACAGGAGTTATGAAAGGATATTAATGTGTTCTTTTCCTAGAAAGTCAAGGTTTCTAGTGTTTTCCCCTAGAAACTCGGGTCCCTCAGGATGGATTATTATTACAAACATCTTTTTTTTTCCCAGTTTGAGCTGGCTCCCCATCCATGAAAGCCCCAGATTGACTTCTATGCAAGAAAGATGTACATTTTACTAAAATGCAATTGTTTACAATTCAGAACTCCCAACTTGTCAAAATTCTTGGTATGGTTAATCTAGGTAAAAAGGTCAACTACATCTACTCAAGTCCTTCTTCTCACACTGAAAAACCTGTTAGATATTAGACTTTAGGACAGCATTATAATTGCCATATCTCTATTGGAGTTAAAGAAGTTCTGCTATTACATAAAAGCTGATGATCTGCAATTCAATTCCAATTGAAATTAAAGAAAAACAAATGATGAAAAAACACCAAAAAAACCCAACTAAACCACCACCCAACAAAACCCCAAAATCTATCCCATCTGACCTACCACAACACAGACCACATCTTTTGTGACCGTATATTTTTGAGACTTAAAAGACAGAAAAGAAGAAGTCATTTAGTAAAGTAAAACATACTCCAGGATAGAAAGGTTTTTAGGATTTGAAATCTAATGCTTGGAAAAAAGAATGAAAGCTTTAATTCATGCTGTTGCAGGTATACCTAAAGGGTCATCTGCTTAATAACAATTGTAAAATGACAGCAACAAGCACTTTAGAAGTGTCAGTCCTTCAAGCATTCACATAGATACAAAAGCCACCCCCAACTTAATCACCACATGAGTGCTCAGGGTTCCAAGCCCCTTGTGAAGAATCCGTGGTTACATCAGCCAAGGACTCAGTCACATTATCCACACTGAATAGCCACAAAGATTTTGCAGAATTACATGCAGAATACATACTTGCCACTAAGTAGCCTATTTCTGGTTTTTATTTTTAAAAAGTGGATCCCCTTCTCCCATGTTTGTCCACTGACATCCCAGCCCCAGCTACTAAAAAAGTAGTGCAGTAGTCTTACTGTTAGTTTATGTAGTTTAGCCCACTCGAGGGCTCCCATGTACAGACCATCCAACTGTGCAATAATATAGCCAGCATGTCTCCAAAATGGGTCATCCTTATTATTTCTGATTTGTTGTCTTGTCCATTGATCTTGCTTCCTGCAGAGGAACAAACAGGTTGGAGTTTTCTTGGGTTGTTTTAGAGTATAATTGATAATGCAGGGAAGGGACAAATACATTATAACCCAGATGGTCCAGTCTTACTCAAGATCTGAGGCAAATCACACTTTGGAAATCCTGCAGATATAAGCATTATATCCTCCAAGTGTAAATGTTCAGACTTAACCAAAATACCCTACAATCATGTGCCTCTACCAGATTTTAGTGTCAAAAAAGGAATTAAACTTCATGTTTGTGGAGGATTTTGCTATAGCAGATTCAGTCAGTAAATGGAAACAAGTGCTTGATAGGTTGGATGAAACATTCCCTTTTAAATGTCTATTTAAGAATAAAAATAGACTGATATTTGAAGAGCCTCCTTCTCTCCCCTGGGTTCAAGAGCAGTGAAGGCTTTCTGCTGGTGGTGCCCAAACATTGCCTGAGAACCATGTCTTTGCTCCTCCGAGTAACAGGTGGGAGGCCAAACAACTGTACCCTGTGCCAGATCCAGTCAAGAGCCAAATCACCCAGGTTTAGGGCATGAGGCAACACAAGCTGAACAGACCCTAGGGCAAGAGCCATCAACATTGGAAGGACCTCCCAGAATTCTCTCTTTTGCTGTGCAAAAAGAGCCACAAAAGAACCACAGGAAATGAGAATCAGATGCTAGCCTCTTCCATCCTCCTGTATCTATCCATCCAGCACTATGTAAAGTAGCAAATTGAGAGGACAAACCTGTAAAGGAAGCAAACTCTTCCAGCAGCATATGGTGAGAAAACCAACCAAAGTTAGTTTTCCAGAAACATCACAATACAAGAAGTATGTCCAAGGAACGAGGGATATGGTCAGAGCATTTAGGGCTAAGGACTTCCAAGACAACACAGTAATCCATATTACAAAACTGCTATAAAGTAAAGCAGTGATGCAGGAGTTGAGGAAAAAGGCAATGGAAAAGCAATACAAGGCCACCTAGTATTGCCCCCATTCATCCAACAATGCATCTTGGAGAATACAGCTGCTTTGCTGTGTCATTCTAGGGAAAAAAACACGTATACACTGATACAGCAGCTATCCCATTTTTCTCATAAGGAGGAGCACAGCAATGCTGAAAAATGATAGCAAGGGAGCACTAAGATTCTTTGTTCTATGTTTTGGATGAGCTGAAACTAACTAACTTCATATTTGCACACCAATAACAGTCAGATATTCAACCCCTTATGGAAAGGGCAAGACAAGGCAAATATGGAAAAAATTAGTCCCCAAAAGTGACCATTTCACACAAGTATTTGTAATGGAATAAAACACAAGCCTAATGAGATTAAAATAATTGGTAATCACAGCTGAGTTTCCCAGCACCTGGCCTGGGCTCTTCTCCTATTGTAGTTTCCCCACCAGTGTAGCTGCATTATTTGAGCAGCTACACTTTTTTTTTTACTTTTGATTTTTACAGCTAAAGTGAAAAGTGAATCACAACTTTTGTGATTAAGATAGAATTTACACTGGTGGTAGAATAAAATACTAACCTAGCAGAAGAAGAAAAGGATACACAATGCTAAAAAGATTAAGGTGCTAGGAGATCACTGTTCAGTGTAATACTGAAAATAATAACTTTTCAAAAAAGGAATTTTATTAGAATGACCTTCAGAATTCATTGACATTTTCCCCACCTTTTGGCAGAATTGGTTTTAAACATTTCTTGGAAAGAATCAGAATTAGGAAAGGGTATAAGCACTTCTTCATGTACATTTAGAATTTCTTTTAATAATAATGGCATTCAATCAGAGGGAAAGGAAGGATATACTTCCCTCAGCCCATAAGGAAGAGAATAAAAAAAGGTTGAAAATTCTGTCATCCTCCAACTCCAAGTCTTGATTGATTTATTTTTAGCAAATAAATACATACGCCATAAAATTCTGAACTCCTCTTCGAACGGTGGGAGTCTTAATTAGCTGTGGGTACATATTTGCAGCATGGTCATACATTTGCCTGAAAGAACAAGAGTAACAGGAGTTATTCCTTTGCATCTTCTGTTTATCAACCAGTTAATTAACATGCCTTGACAGCAAAAGCAACAGAGTTCACAAAGTAAGTTTTTCCTACTCACAGAAAACACTCCAGTGCATGACAAAGAGCAAAAGTAACACAAAAGGATTGTTAAAATGTGACTTAAACTAAATAACTTCGTCAATGTCTGCTCAAACTGCTGCACAATGGAAAGAAGATAAGTAAGAATGAGATTGAACTACTTCATAAAAAAATCTGCACCTTCAGGGAATAATTGTAGGCCAGAAGCATCTTGAAAGCATTATCACATTAATTTAAGCACAACAAAAATAGTTTTCTGGAGACCTATGCTATTTGGAATCACAAGAAACACAGAGGCAAAGGTAATATAATTTGCTGATTCAGTTCATTTCACTCTTCAGAGAGAATTTCAGCATGATATCTAGCAGGTTATACCTGCCAATAACCATGTTCCTTTCTGTTTAAGCTAAATATCTCAATTTTTAAGCATGTATAAGATGATCCTACATGTTATCACAGAAACTCCCACTCATGGCAGTCCTAAATAGATTCAGCTTCATAGAGACCAAAATTCTTGTGGCTTTTTCTGTTGTTGAACTCAGTTAGCTGTTTTATCCACATTAACTTTTAAAAACAGAAGTTGAAAAGGCTTTGTTGCTTGTTGGTTAGGGCTTTTTTGTTTGTTTTCCTGAAGTGAAGTACTTCAAGATGAAATCAACTGTTAAAAAAATGCTCAGGAGCCCAGAATTAAAGTCACACTTCTTTTTTAGCTGAAATGTAATTGTCTGATCCAAGCTAAAATAAAACATTTTAGCATTTCTCTTAATGTGAGTCAAACTTGACCAACATTTTTTTCAGTCACTGATTAAATTGGAAAAAAAAAAAAAAAAGGGGGACATCAACAGAGAATTATTTCACTGAGGTCTGGAGTTGATAGAGATAGAATTACATCCGTCATCAGTACATTTATCTTCTACCAAGTGCTGAGAGAAAGAAAACAGCACTGAGAAACAGATACCAGCCTCAAGGAAAGCACATGCCAGCAGGGCAAAATTCCTGTAATAAAACTTATGAAGCAGCTTACTCTGGGAGGGATGCAGACAGGAGCTCTTCCCAGTTTCCCTCAGGGCATAATTAAAGAATACAGATAGAGAGAATGGTTTGCTGATGACTAGAGAATCATCTACTGACCTTCTCCCCTCTTTCTGTCCCTTGCCCCATTCCCAGACAATTGCATGAACTTGATAGCACGATCCTGTTGCTTCTTATCGCAGCTCTGGTACCATTCTGACAATCAAATCTAATTGTCTCACATGTTCAGGCAAAACAGTAATCCAGCAAAAATGTGATTTGTTTTCATTTGTAGTTTGAATTAAGTTGTGGAAGGGAGATGCTGGGACAAGAGGGGAGCATTCAACAGCTCTGCACCATTACATTTCTCACAAAACTGCAGCAACAATTTTTAGTTCTAGAGTTTTCTGTCTCCCATGTAAAGCAAGACTACAAAATATCATAATCTACTTCCACAAGACTGCAAGAAAATTGGAGAAACAGATCAATATTCTCCACCCCTGCATATTCACAGAGAATTTGGCAAATAAAAATCCCAAGTAATTTTAGGAAGGGAACTAAAAACATACTCTATACTAGAAATCATACAAAACATAGTCTATACTGGAAATCAGAGCTCTCATGCCACTAAAGAGGAGCAAATAGCACAGGTTGGTCCACCTGGCAGATGATAATTTAGTGATTAGAGCCAGATGAGGAAGATAAAACCCAGCTGGGATACTGGCCTAACCACTGCCTAAGCCAGGACAAATGATCATGCTTCCAACTCAACCATCAGCTCTACTCTCTATTCTGCACTCAGAGGTTATGCAGATTTTACAGCAGTAGTATCTTTAAGCTGTCATGACTGATGTAGAGACTGGGTTAGGTCAGAATTGTGACTGAGAAGACCTTCTTTAATGGTTTCACTCTTATTTGCTAACAGAGGACAAACAATTCCTGAAAGTGATTTTTTTTTTTTTTAATGATCAAGGTTATCAAGAATTTTTCCCCCCAGTTGCCCTCTTCAGTTTTTTGGGGGTTTTTTTTTGGGTTTTTTTTTTTGTTTTTTTTTGTTTTGTTTTGTTTTGTTTTTTTTGCTTTAACAAAGCTTCTATGTGCATTGCTTGTGTGTTTTGCAGGGGCATTATTCTCTGAATTTAATTGGATCACTACAGTAAGGCTTTGCAACTACATCTATGGCCAAACACAAGGCAATTGCAAATCTGGGACAAGAATTCCAAACCTAAAACCAGAAAAGCAGAGTCCTCCTTCTTTAAATTAGCAAGCAAGATGACAGGACTCCGGTCAGCTAAGGCTGTATGAGGAAGAGTAAAATTAATGTTGCTTCAAATTTAAATGCTGTTTTTAGGCACCTGGCATGTCCCAGCTGGAACTGATTTAAAATAATGTCACAGATTCAGATGTGTTCTGCCACTAAGTAAAGTCAGGCCTCATTAACACTTCTCTGTTAGAAATGGGGAAAGGAAATTCATGCCTAAGAAAGCCAGAGCAAGTACCTTGGCCACATGATATGCCTGGACTTTGCAGAAAGGTGAAGGATTTGGGATAAAAACAAGTGCTTGGATAAATTGAATTCTAGTGTCTGGGGATCCAATGTCTAACTAGGCATTTTAAAAACACACAGATACTCTCATACTCAGAATCAGGTGTCAACACTAGGAAGATGAAGCATACTCTAGAGAAGACTTACATTTCTGCCATCACTGGAAAACTGGTCTGACTATTGTTTTCTTTACCACTGACCTATACAGTTAGAGCTGAAATTAATTATGCCCCAGTAATCCAAAATAAAACAGTTCTAGCATGTTTCATATTTTGATTTTTTTTTTTAATCTCATTATTTTACAGACTGTTTAGGTTCCTACTATAGGCAAGGCATATACTTTTAAGAGAGATACTTTGTCACTCTTTTGCTTACATGTTAAAGGCCTAGCTGTGTCTGGAAACTCTCCTTCAAGCCCTACGAGTAATGTGAGATCTGAGCTAGCTGAGAATTCCCAAAGGTCTCCAAATTGCAGGCCAAGTTGGACCTCCTGCTCATCCAACAGCTTCTGCAGGAAGCTGTACTTAAACATGGGTTCAGGCATCAACATTTCCAGCCTATCAATGCATCACATCAGAGCTCTTCCTAGCAGGACTTCTAGGATTTCTGCAAAGAGCCACCCTGGGTCTGCTTCATGGAGTCTTTACAACATATGGATGCAAGACAGGTGGAGACCATGGAGTTGTTCACACTACAGGCAGCCATGTATTAAAAAGCTCTTCAATCACCAAGCATTACACCCCAGGTTTTCACATTGGAAGGCTGTGCCTGAACCACCTGAGGTGCTTGTACAGGTAAATCACATAAGGGTCTTCACTGCAGCAGCTAAGTGGCTGACAATGCAAATAAAGCCTTCCCCAAAGCTAAACACGTACCTACACACTCCCTTGTTCTTACCAAGAACTTAAAAGGGAAGCTGGAGCTGTGGACACTAACGTGTGCAAAAGTAGAACAACAGTGTGTAGAGACACCTTCTCCAAGGAAAATTGTGATGGTGCTAGAGTTTCCATAAAACAGGCTAGATGGGCCAGGCAGTCTGATGGGAATGGAGTTACTGATTGAGAAAGGCTGTTTCTCAGTTTTACCCCAGAGGACTTTAACTGTCCCACAGAAAGAACATCTGCCTGCATGTTAACAAGGATTCTGTAAATTTCTAGGCTAGATGAAGGAGAAATGGAGCTCTGAGTGCAATCTTACATCTGCAGACTCAGGAAGTTCTCACTTCTCCTGCAATTTAAGAAATTGCAAACACAGTCTATAAAAGGATTCATTAGTTGCAGTTTGGCAAATAAAAACCAACCAAGGTCATGCAGCTAAATCCTGAAGTAGTAGGTTCTCTGTCTTATCAAGGGACAAGAAAGTACATCACTATTTCATCTCTGTTCCTTACCTGAAACGTTTTCAGAAGGTATTAGCTTCTGGAGAAGCCTTCTTTATCCAAAATAGCTTTACACAACCTGACAGAAAAAACTTGTTTGTAACTCACAGAGAGAAATGCGCTTGCACTGCAGTTACAGATGGACAGTGGGGCAAAGAAATAGCCAAAAAAATTAAACTCAGTATGTATAATATTTGATACTCATTTTATTGACAGCAAGCATTTTCAGATTTTGCACTTGCCAGGAGATTTCTTGGTGGATTTTCTCAAAAAGCCTCCCCAGAAAAGGCAGGCTTTGGCTACTTCTAATTTTGCATCTTAACCCACTCTTGCACTTAACCTCCTTTCAAACAGCTGAATTTCCTATTTTGCTTAAAAGCCTAAGTCTCAAACCATACTTTTCCATATTAATACAAACCCTCAGCTTTACTTCTGTTCATTACCAGTTCTGCTACATCCACTTCTTTACAAAGAGCCACTCAGTGCTGGAGCTGTTAGCCCCAGAGTAACAGCAGCCAGGGCTAGGAACCAACCTCAGTAAGCACATAACCTGCAGAAGGCAAAAACCTTGAGCAGAACAACTTGGATAACTCCACTTCTGTGAATCTTCACTCAACACACATGGAAAAAAAAAGGGGAGAAAACCTCCTTCCTCTAAAAGTTAGCCAAGAATAAGATATCAGATAAATCCCTGCAGACACTGTTCCAGATTCAAACCACATAAAAAGAAGCAGACACATACTTAAGTTTGTTTCAAAGCCAGAAAGACACATAAATCTACTGTGGAGGCAGAAGAGGAAAGGGTGTGAGTTGTTCCTACTACAGCACTACTTGCCATCTAATTGAGCTTAGCATGGACTGGGCTACCTGTACTATGACAAAACTTAAGCTTAATCACCTATTGATTAACACACCTAGGTAAAGCCTTAGGAAAAAAACCTGTTGAACAATACCCAATTTTAACAATATTCTAGATGTAATGCTAGCATTCCCCAGATTCAGGGATAGTTTACATAAACTGGCCAAACAGGGCAAGGCAATAACCTCTCACACCAAACAACAGATCTCTCATGAGCTTAATGTCCTTTCCTGTCTCGAGTACAGGTTGTGTACTATGAATTTTAGAACTCCTTCACTCCCTCAGAAGTGTTTTGTTATTGACAAATATTACTTTATTGAATTTCCTTTATACACTTCCAGAGACCTAGGTGCCTCACCAGTAAAACCTACTAGAGAATCACATTATCATATGCCCAGAGAACTATCCATAAATATTAACTGATCTTAAAATATCTTACTGATTAAATTAATATAATCTTGTCCAGCAGCTGTACCTGACAAATGTTCAGCAGACAACCTTCCCTTGCTGGCCTGTGCAACACAGACTATGAGTATTTATTTCAGTATTCTGAAAGCAAAGCTGATGAAGCCAAAAAGTCAAGTCATAGCAGCCATTGCAAACTCCTCCCAGCATCAGAATTTTGGCATTTTTCTCTTCCTATGACTATGGTGATAGAGCAAAAGATGGAGCTTGTTCAACAACAAGCCACGTGTCATGTTCTTAGCTGTATCACCAGCTATAGAGAGTCACAGAATCACTTAGAAGATTGGAAAAGACCCTTAAGATCATCAAGTCCAACCTAGCACCACCATCTGCTATCAGGGAATATTTCATAATATCATTCTGTCTTCCAACTTAGCCACAGAAAGAACAAAGTTTGATTAATTTTTTTGGTTGGCTATTTTTTGGGGTTCTGGATTTTTCTGTTTGTTTTATTTTAGGAAAAAATCCCTGCACTGGATTTGTAACAAGCACAAAATTCCCTCACTTTTCATAGATGTGAACTGTGGGAAAGGCTCAGTCCCTCAGGGCTTTCAGGAGAACACTAACCCTTCTAGACACACCCCAGTCTGCCTTCAGGCCTATAGTTTTTGGGGGTTTGTTGCTGTTTCGTTTTTTTTTTTTTTTTTAAGTTGGCCAAAACAACTCTCCATGCTGTGAAGTTTCAGTATCTGCTCTCCGGCAATTTCTTGACGTTATCTGCTGAAAAACATCCTTAAGGAAGCACTGCAGACCTTGCTAGCAACATTTCTCCCTGCCTGAGCTGCCCTCAACTGCCTGATCAGCCACCAAACTACAAGCTGGGAAATAACCACACTTCTTGCTACTCCTTATGCACTTCCCTATACTTACATTATTTTGTGATTACATTACTTAAGCAGTAATACAGATACAGTACCCATCTATCCCACCAAGATCTTGGGAGATGCTGCAGGATGAGAAGGGGAGGGCACATTCTGATCCCATAATGAAGAAGCTATACTTTGTACCTGCTACTAATTAAAAGAATACCACACAGATGCAAAATGTATCATTAGTTTAAAAGGAAAGGAATTTAGGACAATGAAAGCAACCAAAAAAACATCACAAGTACAGAAGTCCACTGGAAGTGCCATGAATTGAGTTGCTCCCTGAGGTACTTACGGAGCTGTGAGATAGCCTTCCAAGAAGCCAGCAACATACATAATATCTTCATTGCTTAAGGTCTGCGAGCCATAGCCTGCTCTGATCTCCAGGACTCCCCAGCCTGTTGTCTGTAGACTGTTGTTGTAGAAGCCATAAGCATCTCCACTCCTGTCCAGACTATTCTTGACCTGAAGTATTTTTTCAGCTTTATTCCAGTACACAGTTGCATAGCGGAGTTCTGTAGTGGAGAAGAAAGGAGAAAGGGAGACAAATGTAAGAGGCATTTCCTATGCAATACTGAAATGTCAAGACAGTAATTTGGCAATTTAAAAGTTAATTTCATAGCTTTCCATCAGGTTTAGTTCTACTGCAGAGATCAACACTAATGCTAATATACTGAAAAAGGGCATGATGACTAACTGGAGTTCTACAAGAGCTCACAGCAAAACATTCTCATGTTATTCTTCTGGAAGTTTTCTACAACTCATTCAGTGTACAGCTCCAGCATAGCAGAGTGTTGACATGAAACTCTGAGTAGTATTTCCTTACCTGGCCCAGAACACAAGCTATACAAATCTTATTGAAAGCAACTTTAGAAGACAGCATGCCTTAGGAACTGCAAAGGATTATAAACTACAGTTGACTTAATTTTCCACCTAAAGATTCAAAAACTTCTAAAAGCTTTCTACACAGACCATCTGGGAAACCAGTTCCTGAGATGACATAACAGAAGCAGTAGGACACAGTGGATCACAAACTTTAAGACAAAAGCACAGCAGGTATGCAATCCTTTACCAAGTACACAGTGTTTATCATGCATCTGAAATAGAATTGATCCTAAGCATGATACAAACAGGAAGGAAGGGAATAGACTTCTCAGATTTCCATTTGGACTGCTGTTTTAAAAAACATTCTTGATTACTTGTGTTTCAATCCTGCAAAGCTGAAGAACAAAGAGCAACGTAAACTGCCTTCTGAAAAAAAAACCCCAAACCACACCACCAAACAAGCAACATCAAAAAAATCCCACGTGCTACAATTCTAATTGATTCCTCTCTAAGAGGAGCTGTGATTACATCAGCTCTCTATGCATGACTGATCAAATCACTACTACATCACTGTGAGAAGAGTTTAAAAATTGTATGTCAGAGGTCCAAGAATAATTTAAAAAGTTTTAAGAGATAAATTCATAAATAGCCCTTCTGAATGACTGCACAGGCCTCTGGCATATCACCAGCAAACTTGCTGAGGGAACACTGCCTCATCACCCAGGCCATCAAGGAAGATGCTGACCAGTATCAACCCCTGGCACAGACCAGTTGTTACCAGCCTCCAGCTAGGCTTTGTACCACTCTGCACTAGGTCAGTCTTCGTGACGTACTAGACACACTTCTCATGGGAACAGCAAATGCATTGGCAGAACCAGAATCTTAGTAGGGAAAGAACTTTGCTTTTTCCACATTCTGTGAAAAGAAGTCGTTACATGAGTCTATTCAGAGATGAAGTAATTCAGGGACTTGGAATACAGTGTTTAAAAACATGTTTTTCATCTGCCAGGTAGTGAGGCTATTTAAAGGGCAGACATGACAGACTTTCATTAGCTCTTCAAGCAGCTACGAGCTTAGTCTTCTGTTGTCTCCTTAACTATCTTCTGGTAGTAGAAGCAGTAATTCCTACTTTAGATTAAAAACAAACATGGGAATCACTCAGACTGAAAAATCTGTGAACTGAAGAGCAGGCTGATAAGGGTCATCACTGATGAAAGCCAAAGACCACCTTACAAAGCTAAAGCTTATATACCAAAAAAGTCAGGGCAAAGGAAGTTCTGTGAGGGGATGATGCAAGGGGTCAGAGCAGAACACAACGTGCCTGTCCAGCAGTAAATGGGAGGGCTGATTCCAACCAAGAAGCCCAATGCAGGGCAGAGGAGAGACTACTTGCACAGTAAACAAAGATGTTGAGGAACAGATAAAAAGAGAAATAACAAACTAAGGCAAACCATGACCATCTTTCCATCTCTTCAGGTGGCTGTGGAGAGGTGGCTGGCATTCAACAGGAATCAGGGCAGCTGGGTATTGCTATTAGTGCCTGCAAACTAAATAGTGATGTCAGGATACCTATTAGACCTATAGAGAAGCTGTGCCTGCCTAAATCAAAAGAGCTGTTGCTTTCCTTTGGAAAAGAAAGTTGATGCCAAAGCCAGACAGACTCATCTGACACAGGTACTTGCACAGTGGGCTGGGTTCCTTTGTTTTATGCTCTGCCAGAGCATGAATGTGCAGAGCTATTTTCAAAAGTCCAAACAAACTTTTGAAGTACCCCTGGAGTCTGCCCTGTCCCAGCTTCCCTACATGACAAATTTAATCTGAAGAAAACCAGAGCTCAAAGCGGGTGGGAGAGAAGGAGAAAAATCAAATCACAGGAGAACTTGCAACAAACCCTGAGAGGCCTTTAAAGGAATAGCATCAAGGTAGCTGTTACAGTTTCACAACAGTGCTGCAAACCACTATTTCCCATTACGGCTTTTTCTTTTGATTGACTCATCATCTCATTTCACCTTGCAGCTGGAGTTAAAACTACAAGCTTATAAACCTGTCTACACTACAATGTAATCAAAGCATTTAGGACCACCTAATCTGGTCCAATTTTATTCTGTATTCATCTAAACAAGCAGGACTGCCTTTGCCAAGAAAACCATCCAGAAGTATAATACGGAATACAAATATACAAGAAATATGTGCACATTTTCAAACAATTCTGTTTCAGTTCTGAAGAGAACAGGAGCCTTCCTATTGAATAACATTTATATTTGAATTTGAATATTACATTTATTTTTGGAGGGTGAGACAGGAGCCCTAGCACCTCTTATCCCAGCAGTCATATTGGTCAATTTTTGCATAGAAAGCAATTGCAATGTCTCCATGAACCCACAACTCATCTTTTCATCATCAAAGTTAAGACCTCCAAGTGTTCAGCCTGCTAGAACTCTGACAAATCAGAGACTGTGATAATCTCTAACTATTGCACAACAGTGTTGCTTAGAATAACCTCAATAACACACCAAAGCACGCACTATCTACTGCAATGAACAAGTCAAAATCCTGGGGGATGGGGTGGGCCAGTGGAATAATCCTTCCACTCCAAGAGCCAGCCAGGAGAACTGCACAGCATCAGCACTACAGAGTTTCACCACAACCACCAGTGGGGTGGGAGAGAGATATGCAGAAGTGCAACGACAGAATAAGCCTGGAAAAAAGAGTTTCTTCTCCTTTCTGCAGGAAAAGGGGACTGGGAGGAGCCTTCCTTCAAGCTGCCTCCTTTTAAAGATACATCAACCCTTCTCCCAAATACAGATCCAGAAACAGAGACTACAGCTGGGAGTGCTGGAATTTCTACAGCAAGTGAGAAATATCTGCTTTCTGTCAAAATTATTCCCTAAATAATGGGAAAAGGGTATTCAGCCAGGAAAATTGGAGGTGGTAGCGGTCCCTTTGGGTTTTAAGCTGAAACACCAAATCTGTTCTCTGCCTTTTGGGCTCAGTACAGGCATTTCAAAAGTTAAAACTGTATATTGTCTTTTACTTGGTGGCAGCTGGAGAGTGGAAATACATACATGTGCATTAGAATATGAAACAAGCAATTAAAGGAAATACTTAGAGGACTGACATGAGATGAAACACACGGAAAGCAGATGGTGAAGAAGACATGAAGTAATAGCAGCAATCTGCAATAAAAGAAGAGAATTGACAGAGAAGGTGAAAAATGAAAGAAAAGCAGTATGGAGATGGCCCAAGACAATCTAAGAAGCACACTACTAGTAATATTTATTTAATAAATTAGACCCAAAAAAAGTAACACCTGGCATGCATTAAGAACACCAGTAAGATTCATTTGGCAATATGCAACAGTTGCTTTTCCTTAGGCTTTCCCAGCTATAAGTTGCTTTTAAAACATACATATATCAAGTTAGGCTACTGGACTTTATACTTAGAGAAATGAGTAGAGCTCTTTTCCTTGCTGGATGAAAGAACTACAAGGTCAGGGGGTGAGAAATAATATTCGTATTTTTCCTTAGTCTGCCAAGCAAGCCAGCTCACAAGCAACGTAACACTGGTTAGTTCACATGTAACAAGCTAAATTAACAAGTGTCAGCATCTCCTACTAATATGAAAATTTAGTAGTTAAGGAAACCAGTAGTTAACTACTAATTTTTATCTGTGGCTTTCTAAATGTGAAGCTATTTTTTTGTAGAGGTGTTCTTCATAGATTCTGCCCATAAAGTTTCCAATAAATAGGGAAGATAGCACTCTCCTGTTTCACCAAAAACTAGTTTTGCATCACTTCAAAATACAAAAAACTTTAGAAAAAATTGCACATTTGATTTCAGTATACTCTCTCCTACAACTAATGTTCAGTAGTAAAGATTCTATTATCACAGTATAGCATTTAAATATTTAAGGTCAACCATAATAAGGATGTTTCTGTTCAATGTTTTAATTTGAAAGACCTTGACCTCTTTTTCCATTAAAAATTTTATAGAATCATAGAATGTTAAAGTTCAGAAGTGACCTTACAAAACCACTTAGCTCCAACCTCCCTGCCATAGGCCTCATCACCTTTCACTAGTGCAGGTTGCTCAGGGCCCCATCCAACCTGCCCTTGAACATTTCCAGGGATGGGGCATCCACAACTTACTTGGGCAGCCTGTGCCAGTGCCTCAGCACCCTCACAGTAAAGAACTTCCTCCTGTATCTAATCTCAATCTGCCCTCCTTCAGTCTAAAACCACTACCCCTTGTTCTGTCACTACCTGCTCGTACAAAAAGTCCATTTCCTCCTTTTTATAATTGCCTTCTGGGTACTGGAAGGCTGCAGTGAGGTCTTTCCAGGATGAAAAACCCCAGTTCCCTCAGCCTGCCTTTGCAGGAGAGGCGCTCCATCCCTCTGACCATCTTTGTGACACTCCTCTGACCCCGCCTCTCCATGTGTTTATTTATTTAGAAGCAGAATTTAAACTATTTTTGAAAGGCTGTATAACTCTAAAGAACAAGGGATATTTCAATATATGATTATGATTGGAATCTATTACAAAACAAGACTATTTCAGGGCTGCTTTAGAGATTAGCTTAAACCACACAAGAAATTAACAAAGTCCAGTAATTTTCAAATAAAGGAGTAAATGCTTTCTTGAGCTGCCTGAATATAAGCTATTTGTGTTTTCTATTCTACTGGCCTTAATTAATCCTATTTCCTCATGCATTTTGGGTCTATGTAATTTTTTTAATTTGTTTCCAACAGGCCTGTCCTTTGAAGCCTAATGCCCTGATTTGTGCTTACATCAGTGAAAAGTAATATTCAAATGTGACCTATCAATTAAGAGTTTCAGTCTTGTATGGTTTTCATGTTCACAAGGATACTTACTAGTAAAGCTCAGCAAATTTGCCAAAACAGTTATAGGTACCTAGTATAGGTCACCCAGAGGAAACAAAACCAGCCATTCAACAAGTAGCTTCAGAAATGTCAGAGCACCTCAGTTTAAGTCATATTAAAGAACATTCTCTAGAAACATTTTCCAAAGTGTATGATGAATAATCTTCAAGGCATTCAAAGTGCTAAAGAACAATGAACCAATTTTCAAAAACCCAAACAACAGAATCTACACAATTCACAATGCTGAAAGCCATTTACTCTATTAAATAGCCTAAAGGCATTTCTATTTGCTCCTTTGTAGCTTTCCTAGTAACTCAATTATGATGCTAGAAATCAGTTGGGCATTAGGTGAAACTCCTTCATAGCCTAAACTTCCTTTCATTTCCTCTAGATAATTTACAGCTGACCCTTCTTTTCCTCTTCCTAACTGAAGTTTTTGCTGATCCAGGTAAAGTTTTGAAAGTATGTCTGCAAGATGAGATAGGACTGCCCACAAAATTATATGCTTATAACATTTTGCACACGTTGAAACAACTGTTATGTTAATTTCTCCTTGGTTTGTAGCACTTCATGCATTAACTGGGAAATTCCTGGAAGATAAGCACCGAATCCAGCCTTTAAAACCTTCAGAATTTATTGAAAGCAGCACTAGAGTGAGATACTCTGTCCCTGCCCGAGGCAGTGTGGTTGGAACAAGATAATCCTTAAGGTCCCTTGCAACTCAAACCATTCTGGGATTCCGTATGAGCGCTGAAGCACAGACCATGACCTATACCCCACAAGGCAGCACTAAAACTCTTGTTAGTCACAAATTGTAGCACGCTGTAGGCCACAGCACCACAACGAAGTCTTCGTCCCGAACGATTCCCGTGCCTGCATATGAAAACCAGCTCGGCTGGGAGCTCAAGGCAATTTCCCACCTGTTGGATCCTCAGTTTAAATCCCCGCGCCCTTTCTGGGAACTGGGAGGATGTTTAGAAAGCGCCGGCACCGAACACCCACGAGGCAGCACGGCCGCGCCGGCCCGGCCGCCGGGCACGAGGTGCTCGCGGAGCAGCCGCTGAGGGAGCGGAGCCAGCCCGGCCTGCGGGGTCCCGCCGTGGGGAGCGGGGCCCGGCGGCCTCGCACCCGCGTCCCAGGCAGCACGGGGCGGAGGCGCGGCTGCCACGGGCGGGGCGCGGAGCCCGGCGGTACCCCGGGAGAGCTGCAGCCTCCGCCGCAGCCGAGCCCGGGCCGGGCTACCCCTCCCGACCGCCTGGCAACACTGGCGGGGCAGCCCCTGTGACTCCTGTCGTCCCCCCCACCACGGCGAGGGGGCTCTGGCCGGCCACCCCCCGCGCCCCCGCTCGCCTCACCTGCGCGGCCGCCCGCCGCCGCCCACAGGAGGACGAGCGCCCAGCAGCAGCGGCACACGCTGCCGCCCGCCCGGGCCATGCCGCCGCTCCCCCGTGACTCCTCCGAGCGCCGGGAGGCGGCGGGACTTTAAGAAGTTCCCTCGCTCAGGGCAGGTCTCGCCGCTGCCCCCGCCTCCTCCGGCGCCCGCCCCGGCCGCGGCGGCCCGTGCTGGAGGTGGCCCTGCCGGGGACGGTTGTTCCCCGCGCCGGCCGCCGGGATGTGCCCCGGGAGCGGCGGAATCTTTCCTGCTCCGATACGGGTTTGGAGACCCCAGGGCCTGGCTGAGGTGTGGGAATCACCCCTGGCCGAGGTCCGGCGTCGCAGGGTAGTGAAGGCGGGTCCCCAGGCAGGTGCCTGTGGCGCCCCTGGACTTCCCGAGGGTGATTAACCTTGAAGGGGCGAAAGTTTACCAAGAACGGCTGTGGAAAGACGCAAGAGGAGTTGGGCGATGCTTATCAAAATATGCGTTTTGCATCACAGCGTGAGAAACAACAGCGAAGGGCAGCTTTCAGCCCTGTTAGAACAGTAACTGCTGTGTGTCCCAGCGGAAGAAATGAGGGACAGAACTTTTTCTAAGGTTTACAGATAGAGACAACTTTCCTTGGGGTTTTCCTTTGCACCCGTGATTCAGACCATTTCGAGGCACTGCGTTTTTGTCTCAGCCAGTGTTGGATATTCTGCCATTATCTGAAAAGGGCCATTATTTGGACTTTGTGTTTCAGTAATTAAGACAGTTTGAATTTGATACCGGTGCCGGTAATAGCCCCATATAACACGATCACATGCCAACCAGTTCAGGCCAAGTAGTAAGCCTTGGCCCCAAGCCCTGGATAAGAGCACTGTGTCACCAGGCTGCAGGGATCCTTCTATACCTATCACCACTTTGTTCTGGGTTACTTTTCACTTAGAGAGAAGGAAAAAACAGACATTCAAACCAGAAACCAGGATTTTTAAAAGGGTAGTCAGTGTTGATTTTATTGTGGTGTGTAGTTAACAGATACGTGCAAGGACAGAATCATGTGAAAAAGAAATCTACCAGAACATGGGTCCATCAACTCATTACTAAGGTAACTATTTCTCTTCACAAAATGATACAAAATGTATTGTCTGAAGAACACTGGAAAGAGAAGGGCTGCTGAAAACTAAGCACTTTTTTTAAGTAATTTTCTCAATCAATGTCAGCAGACATGCTCTAAAATAATTTGTATCTCAGGGGTGTCAAGGAACCCATAAAACTCTTCTTTAAAAAGAGGAAGTAGGTCACTTGTATCACTTTAAAGATCAGAATGGCTCTGCTTGGGGTAATCATAGTGGTCATCTTCAGGCTTGACGAGTCCAGCATTTGTCACTACAATACAGCTCCACTTGCTGAGTGTTCCAGCCACAGCAACTAGAATAGCCCAGCAGCGCCCAGTAGCCCAGCAGTCACACCCAAAAACACAAAGCTTGTAGATTGGCACCACGAGGTAGGAAATAGCAGACTTTATATTTTTATTGTACTCATACTCTTTTCAATACATACCAGTTTTAGCTCATCAGGGTTTTTGGGATTTTTTTTCTATCCTCACCCCAATGAATGTTTCCATTAGGACACTGAGGATGGTATGGTATTAATGCCAGTTTGAGTTTCAGATTGGTTATATATCATGTGAAAGCTGTGACTGTTGGGTACACACTTTCTGTTATTTGTCTGTATCATGTTCCTGAGTGTAGAAATATACATCTGTTAGATAAGAGTATAAGCCCTGCAGAACTTCATTATTGAATTTTTCCAGTAATCTTTGCACTTCAGATCTATTTACATCTACATTGTTCTTTTAACGTGTGTGTGTGTGTGTGTGTTCTTACAAAGCCAGCTTCTCTTAGAAAGAAAAAACAGAGGCAACTGGATTGCTCTCTTTTAATTCTTTTTATGTTGTTTAAAATGCTGTTTAAAACTATAAAATAATGATTTTGCACCAGTTTCATTGCTGAATACTGACCAATATTTGACAATGCTGGAAGTAGTTCTGCTTTGAAAGCCAACAGTGCACAAAAGGCCCTTGCAAAAGCAGATATTCTTCACTCACTAGATGTTATTTCTTCATGGGAATGCTGATTTTCTTTTACGTGTAACCCCTGTGTTTTTGTTGCTTGTTAAAGCTGTTTATTAATACCAGTACCATGGTGTCAGTTGAAGAATGAGTCATCTGAGTAAAATTTGCTTTACAGTAAAAAAAAGTTGAATTGCAAAGGTCTGAGGTTAAGAAATCCGATAATTTTATTTCCTTAATTTCTGTTTCACTTCTGGTTTGGGGGCAGAAGCAGAAGTAGTGAAAAGATATGAAAGTGTCTTGTTTTGTATGCATGAGTTTCATTTTTCAGGCCCAGGAGATTCAACTAAACTTTACAAACCATACTTCTGGAATAATCTCCCAATGTAAATAACAGAAGTGTTGTCTCTTGAACAAAGTCAGCTTGATTCAAGAAAACATGCTAAATACAGAGGAAAATAGCAGAAGAAGCAAAAGAGCAACATATTCACGTTTTACATATGATATATTTAATTATATTTTCAAATATATTACACCAAATCTATCTTCACATAAAAATTACAAATTAAATACAACATCTAAAGATCATGGCAAATTAGGGTTTTCCTGTGAATATTTTCAGGAGTGGATTACTGAACAGGCTATCACAATTTAAAAAAACATAACTAAAACAAAAACCCCCACTATTTTCCAGACTCGAGTGCAAATATTTTCATTTACCTCAAATCATGCTGCATGTGTCCTAACAAAGTCATCCAACAATTTCAATGTTACAGTGAGGAGCAGTTTGATTTACTGATAGTAGGTTGGATGGTAAAAAGGACTCTTGAAAAGGTGTTTTCTTTTTCCTCTAATTGTGTCTACAAGCTTCCAGCCTCCACATGAAGTTGTCCAGAGAGTTGCTGCAGCTTTTTGAGTCATGCTAGATATCCAGTTTTAAATGTAAGTGGTAAAATTCTCTGTGCTGACCAGTTGCAGGTATTCCAGGGTACCTGATCGGTGGCTACCTACCCGCGAAAGCTCCTGTGCCTTGGATCCTTCATTTTCCCTTTTCTGAAGACTGTTGGTTATCATCTCTGCTAAGTCATCGTGTAACCGCTGCTGGTTCTCCCTAAAATCAACAGGATGGGGAAAAAATTCAGTGATTCAAACGTTTTTGATGATCCTCAGGTCGCCAGAGATTTTTAAACATTTCTATTCCCACGTTGATCTTAATGTTATTCACACACTACTGATAAAAAGTGGAGACAGGACAAATTCGGGTTCTGAATTTAGGAACAGAAGGATTTTCATGTGAGTTTTCCAGATAGTATAGATCAGTGTCTTTGCACAAGAGCTGTGTCATTATTGACCTTAAAAAGTCATGATCACTTGCACAAAAAGGAAGACACCGATTCAATCCTAATCAAAATAATTTGTAGCTTTCAATATCATTACTTTATGGCACCAGGACTTTAACTATTCAACTTCAGGTGGCCTTCAGTAATAGAGTTGCCATTGTTTCAGCAACTTCTTCAGTGTATTTGGCTTTTGCTGGAGTACCCCACATATGACAATTTTTAAGGGGCAATCATATATGAAGAAGTGAAAACAAAAGCATCATGTGATACAGCTCAAGAGGTACTTCAAATTGTTGAATTGCAGAAGATTGCGAATTCAACAATTCTGATAGTCTTAAAAGATCATATTAATTTTAAAAAAGCAGTTCTGAATTTACAAGAGAGATGTATCATGAGGTAGTCTTGACATTATTTCCTGCTCAGCCCAGACTCTTGTACTTTCCATTTTAAAAAACAACAAAGCTCATGAGATTCTGTAGCAGATTAAAAATTTATGGTTTGCAAATGCCCTGAGAAAGCCCTCATATTCCACTTAATCTCCTCTTTTCTCTTAGGGAATAAATGGACTGAGAAATTTATTTGTGCAAAGGACACACTGTGAGACTCAAAACTTACAGTAGGAGCAAGCTGTAACATTTACTTATGCATTTCAGGACAAGGGATCCCCATGTATCTGGCAAACACCAATTTGCAATATCATTACTTCAATTTGTAAGGAAACACTGTCATTTCAAAGCGGATGGCAACAAATTCCCACTTACTGAAGAGCAACTGTACCCAGGTGTTAAGAGCAGAAAATGAGGAACTTCCACATTTAGTGAGTTTGCAGGAAATAAAGAGGTACTTATATGCAAAATATACCCCAAGAATATGCAACAAGTTTTCCTGACTTCAATTTTGCATAGTTGCTCAAAAACATCACTTCCACTATCGCTACATTTTATTCATTTCTAATGCAAAATGATGGCTCAGCTCCAAAACATCAACCTCATATTTTTTTTTATTGATAACTTCTCTAAATGTTAGAAAGTAATCTCTTGTTTAGTTTTTAAAGGCTTTATTCCTGTGCAGTACTACAGTAACTTTGTTCGCCTCTTGTAGGAGAATAGTTCTTGAAATCCTGCAAATTTCATTCCTCTTACAAATTCCTCCACAAGAGTTCACAAGCACAACAGAGCTGCACACTCAGTTGTGGTTATCCTCTTCCTGTAGTGTGACACGCAGGTGCCACAAGGACTAAACTTGTGGGAATATTATTTTTTTAATTTTCCTGTCCATCTCTTGCTTTTATCACATCAGCAACTTGTCCTGTAAGTCTTACAACATTTCCAAGACAAAGAACCTGCTAAATATTTATATAGACAACCTTCAGCACACACACAGTCCCATGTAATGAATATTTACATGTTTATATGCTTATACACTATCAAGCCTCTAACAATTGAAGGCAAATTCAATGGTATAAAAAATCCACAAATGCCAAGGAGGAACAATAAAGGCTAAAGTGCAAAAAATGGGAATTTCTCCTCCCTTTTCACATTAAAAAAACCATCTTACACAGAAGGAGGTGTTGGGAGATTGTATTTCTTGTCCTCAGTACCCGTCAACCAGTAGGTAATTTCTGTTCCTCTGCCCTAAAGAAGAGAAAGCATGATTTTGCGATTAGAATGGAATTTTCTGTAGTTAATTTTCTTAAA